ATAAATTTAATTTAATTCCTATATGTTGCCATATTATCATGAAATTATGGTTTTTAAATTAAAAATAAAAACATTTCCAAAAAATTCCAATTTTTTTTTCGCGAAAAAACTCATAATCGTGTTTCTGGGGTCGAAATATATTACCCCTAAAATATTTGCACTTATTTAAGACTCATCCTGTATATCTAATATGTTTAAACATTATCTAAGCCGCATGATTTAGATGGCAAAGTAACTCCGCAAATTAGCCACAATAGAGTGGACGCCCAGAATGGACTGTGAATAACGACTCAATACAATCTAGAATAAAGTGGCGTCTTTATCCATAGTCAGTGTTAGTCAGTAATAGTAAATTTTTAGTAAGTTTTCAGGATTCATAATAGTAGTAACACGTATATAAAAAGAAATCCGATTCCTTCCAAGTGATTAGCCATTATTCGTTTTAATCTAAATTTAGATAAAAGTTCTTTTGGGTGTTTCTACTGCGACACCAATAATCAAGGACTAATCGAGTTATGGTACGTACACATTGGTGCGCTGCGCCACGAACGCGCGGCGCGCGCTCCTAGAGTTCGCCGCGCGTTGCGTTTTTTGTTTTAACGATCCCGCGATCCATAGAAATCCCGCGAACATTCGTCTAGTCGTTAATCATGTCTCTATCGTCCGAGAAGAACTACGCAATTTTAATCATGAGTAGTGCGACTCTTTAAACACTCCATTAATAAACAATATTCAAAGAATACACAAAAAAGGGAATTTATTCAAAGAAAATACACATAGTCAGTGATAAATGCGCGCGGTGTCTTCACCGGGCGTCCCAACTGAACAACGAACAAACAAAGCGGAGCGTCGAAAAACCGACTGGAGATGGTTCGCCGCTAGCTGTTTGCGCGCGGAGCGCGAGCAACTTGAAAACACGTACTAACAGAGGCGAAACGGTACGCGCGTGCCGCGCGTTCGTTCGCGGCGCAGCGCGCCAATGTGTACGTACCATTACATGTAATATACATGGCAAAGCTAATCCTAACTAAAATCTGTACAATGAGTCAGGGAAGATTTCGACGACGAAGAATGACATATCATATGTCAACTTTTGACATTTTCGCATATGGTTTATTTGAAATAATAACTTGTGGTTCGTAACGAAAATTTGACTCGAAATACCATGTGTGGTACCAAATTATTCGTAAAAAAATGCTTTTTCCAAATATGCTAATGAGCCACCCTCGTTCCATTTGACAAAATTGAGATATGATTAAAAATACGATTTGAGCATTTTCTAACTGGACAAGACACTAAAAACATTAGACAACCAAATCTATTTTTCCAAAGCTCCTTGATTGATAATTAATGTTTTTAACATAACCATTAATTTTGTTTTAAGCAAGAATGTCAAAAGTTGACATATGATATGTCATTCTATTCAGAATGTCATTTTCTATCGAATAAAGTAAAAAATACCGAGGGTGCTATTTAAAATCAAAAGTTGTAGTCATTTCCGGTGAAACAGGAAGTGATCAAAAACAATTGAATACGTCAATCAATCCTAATTTATGTCATATACTAACATACCAAATCTCGTTTTTTTATCTGAAAAAATAAAAAAGTTATAGGGGGTGAGCCTTTTTTGAGACGCACCCGGTATAGTATACCTAATCTGTGGTCCCACTAGTCAACTCGCATACTCAACGTTGCCATTTGTTGTCTCTTTTTTTCGCAATTCTGCACGCGCATAAACCCAAACCACGTACATCTCGTACGTGGAACAAACATATATTATACTTTAATGTAATATTTGGTTACGCTATACAAAATGATTTGCGGCGATATGTTAGGTTAGATAATTATGGAGACGATGGAGACCTCCTAATTAAGGTTCAGAATCGGGAAATCCCGTTACCGAAAGTACCGGGAATTCCCGGTTCTTTTAAGACATCAAAGAACCGGGACTCAAAATTATTAATTCCCGGTTCTTTCGGGACTCGGTAATAATAATTAAAAACATATTTTTGATACGTGCGAAAGTTACTTTCTAGCGGTGAAAATGAAACTCTTCTAAATAAGTTGTGATGCTATCTCTACTGTTCTTACTTCTGAAGTTATTTTGAAGTTTCTATAATGTTTATTAGCAATTATTGAAGTTTAAATATGTTATTTTATTATTTAGTATATTGCTGAATGTATTAATTATATTTTTGTTATGTTTTTATAGGCATTTGCATCTTTAATTGAAAATGTTAAGTTTTTTTCCTATTTTAGTTAAGTTGGTTTCGAGGCTTGTTTAATGTAATTTTAAAGCTACCTGTGTGTTTTCTTTTTTTTTCGCTTGTATTCATTATTTGTTTTCATATTTTTTGATATTTTTTCATATTTTTTTCATAATCTCATGACTTTTGCCTCAAATTCAGTTAAGTCGGTTTATGTTGTTTGATGTGAAATTTAAGGTACCTATACTTTTTTCTTTACTTGTGTTCTGTGTTCATGTTAATTATTTTCATTTGAAACTCAATTTTTTATCGGTTTTGCTTCTGAGAACCATCCCTTGCTTGCTAATTGACGAACTCCACAATCGTTGAACGATAATATTTTAGTACGGTTCTGGAAACTCTAATTAATACTACCAATTAGGGTTTAGATCTTTTGGTCATCACAGAACCGGACCACGATAACAATAATTAAAAATTATTTTTTTGTTACGTGAGAAAGTCCTTTTTTACTTTCTAGCTTTCGAAATCAAACTCTTCTAAATAAGTAATGATGCTATTTCTTATCGTTCTTGCTTCTTTTCTCTTTCGAAGTTCCTATAATAGTTCAGTCATTGGGGATTTTTGCTTGGAAAAAAGTCCGGAAGTTTTGCAGCTTTGCAGGTTTATAGGTTTGGGGCCCTAACTAAAATCCAAAAATGCACATTTCCAGACTTGCCGCCGGCGCCGCCATCTTGCCAAGATGGCGCTTAAAATCGGTATTTTGAGAATATCTCGAAAACTATGCGTTTTTCGTTTAGGCACAAAATCCCTGGAAATTTGACAATTTTGCGTAAAATTGATATATTATGTATAGTCGATTTTCCGAAATCAAATGTCGATTAGGGTTCACTAAAACTAGTTTTAGTTTAGTTTCTTCAATTTTGTCATAAAACAGTGGCGTATCATTAATTTAATTATTGAAAATGTGTACATGTGTACTTGTTTCTTCACCACCGAAGAGGTAAAGTATATGGCGCGTTTATTTTAACGTGGTCTCCCCGAGGCCTACTCCACTAGATAAATTAAAACTTTTAACTTATCTGCACAAGCCCGACGGATCTGGCTCATTGAAGTCAAAGTCGATCGTGTCTGCTGTGCTGGGCTCATCGGGGTGGTCTCTCAATACGTCCAACTCTTCATCTTCACCCGCCAGAGGGATATCCACAGGTAAGTCTAACTCCTCTTCATCGGATTCGTCGAGTGACACTTCAGTGACGTTGTCACAGGATTTCCCATTGCAGTATGCACAAATCATTGAACATTTTAATACTGCTTTTCTGTATCCGCAGGCTTTACTATAGTTGTTGGTTTTGCATTTACAGGATAAAAAAATGCCAATAGGGATTTTGAAGCTGGATCTTCCAACGTTGTGACTGGAGTAACGCCTATTTTTGTTTTCTTCCAATCCTATTCTTCGGCATCTTTGGTGCAACCAGACCAATGCTGAACCTGGTGGTAAGTTCGCAATGAATGCTGTCCAGCACGACAATTAATTATTCATAAATTAATGAGCGAATTAATGATACGCCACTGTTTTATGACAAAATTGAAGAAACTAAACTTAAACTAGTTTTAGTGAACCCTAATCGACATTTGATTCCGGAAAATCGACTATACATAATATATCATATTTTACGCAAAATCGTAAAATTTCCAGGGATTTTGTGCCTAAATGGTTGACTTTAGCGAAAATTTTCATAAAACCTTTTTTATAGGAAATTTTGTTCTCTTTAATTTAGCTCCCTTCAAATTTTCACGAAAAACGCATAGTTTTCGAGATATTCACAAAATACCGATTTTAAGCGCCATCTTGGCAAGATGGCGGCGCCGGCGGCAAGTCTGGAAATGTGCATTTTATGGATTTTAGTTAGGAACCCCAAAACCTATAAACCTGCAAAGTTTCAAAACTTCCGGACTTTTTTCCAAGCAGGCTCCTTTTTTGATTCCCAATGACTGAACTATATTTATTATTTATGTCATGTTTTAAAAGATATTTGCATTTTAATTCAATATTTTACGGCTTTTGTCTCAAATTCAGTTAAGTCGGTTTATGTAGTTTGATGTGAAATTTAAGTTACCTATATACTTATTTCATATTATTTTCATTAAAAATCGCAATTTTTTATCCATTTTAATTTGAAAAACGATCCCTTGTTTTCTGATTCAATGAACTTTCTGATCGATGAACACCATTGGACACAAATTAGTCAGTACCGAATGTACCGAAAAAAACGGGAAATTCCGGTTCCTAAGAGGAGCGGTACCGAAAAACAATTCCGGTTTCGGTTTTTCAAATAAGTCCAAAATAACCGAGTTATTTTACTTTGAAAATTTCCAAAAAAAATGATTTTTTGCTAAAATTTTAAGAACCACTGATTATTTCATGCAAATTTAAGCTACTACCTATGTTGCCATATTACCAAGAAATTATGTTTTTTAACTTAAAACTAAAGAAACTTCCAAATTTTTTTTTTAAAAATTCCAATTTTCAAATTTTTTTTTCGCAAAAAATACCTCATAGGCGTGTTTTTGAGGCCGCAATATACTACCGATTAAAATCTTGCACTTATTACTAGGACACCTGTATATACACATACATACAATTTTTAAAATTTATTTTTTTATAAATAAAATTTTTTTAAATAAAATTTATAAAATTACATATAATATACAATTTAGTTATGTAATACCGATAGGGCTATGCATATACCTCGTGAAATAATAGAAACAATATAAGAAAAATAAAACAACATATCACCAGATAGCATTTATTCCATAAGTGGAAACAATTCAGTTAATATAAGTGAGTCTTTTCATATATTACCTAAGGATTGTTTATTTATCAAACTACTAAAAGTAAATACACCGATCGGTACATAAAATAGGAAATACATTATAGTGATACATTGAAGAGACATCCTACCATAGTTAATTCAAAATACATAGACATCTATCTAAATAAAAAGCATACTAAACAGTAATTGCTTGGAAATACAAAAATATTAAAAATTATAAGTCAAAAAGTATAGATAATATATTATGTTAACACCCTTTCAGAAAACTACCAGATGCAAAACTGATAAGAGTGTTTCTAAACTGTGTGACCAGTTTTATTTGCGTAGTCTCTTGCTTTTTGGACCAGCGCCATTTCTAACAGCAGCCTTCCTTGGAGTAGCTTTGCTGGGAGTCGACGGAGGCTCAGCTTTAACCTAATTAAAAATTCACATATAATTTCAATCCATAAATATAAAATTGATAATGTATGCAAAAACTAAAAATTTAAAATTTAAACTTGGGATTAAATGAAAATAATTTTTCAGAAAAAAAAACGATTTTTAGTTTTGAAATAATAACATAAAAATAATAATAATAAACAAAATGTACGTACTTCAAAATAATAGTTTATCTATCAAGACAATAAAATTTGTAAGGTAACTTGACGGCTTTTTTTAATCATACAATACTTATATATCTAAACAAATATTCATAAATATTAACATACTAGCTGTATGCCCTTTTAAGCAGCTTTATGCTACGCGATTTTAATAACATTTTTATATAGTAGATATTAGAGTAGATATCCAATTACAGATTAACACATTAATCACAGAAAGCAATTGCTTAATTGGTGTATATTTATTGCATTTTTTTACCTATATCTTAACATGCCAATTAACTATCTCTTTGTTCATGTTTTTCTTTAATTTTGATTTATTGTTTTTTTCTAGTTTTCAATTAATTATTAAGTAAACATAACGAATTTGACGATAATTGACGAATGTTCTTGAATGAACACAATTACAGAGAAGTTGGTTAAAAAAGATTTGGAACAAAGAAATCAGTTTTGTGAAACATAAATTTACATGTTATTGCTAAAAAAAACGAATGTAAGGAATGTTCAGCGATCGATCATAGGCTGATTAGAATGATTAGTAAATCATTAAAAAACATTTAAAATAAGACACATAAGATGTGTTTTATATGTCAGCCACGCTTTTTTGAAGCACCCTGTATATTAAAAAATTTAATTGTGTATCTTAACTTTGTCTAAAACTTTTCTATTTAACATTTTTTATGAATCTGGAAACAAATGATATAATAGACTTTACTCTAGCATTGATTCACGATGGGTGCCATTTCTATTTCTTCTAGGGTGTCCCACTAAGAATAGGTCTCGGCTATATCTCGGAAAGTATTAGTCGTAGAGCTTGCGGAAAAAATATTAATAACTAAAGAGGCCATGAGAAATTGCTAGAAATTATTTTCAAGTCTGTAGAACGGCCGCTAGAGGGCTAACTGCTATAAAAAAAATAAGAAAAAGGAGTTTTTATACCATTTTGCTTAGATAACGGGCACTATAAATACTAGATTCATAATATCCACTAAATTTTGAATATTTTTCATTAGAACCATTTTACCCTATCTGCTAACATAAAGTGGTGGGGGAAGGTTAGATCTGTTTTTATTTAAATGTTAATAACTCCGGACTGGATGATCGGAATCCAATAAATGAGAGCTCGTTTAAAAGAGCGTTTCTTACTCTATATTATACTACGTAAACAATAAAAATAACCTTTTGAACGTAGACGCTAAGGGGCGCTGTCTTACAATTTAACAAACATAATGCGTTTTTTCAAAAAAATTAAATGCGATAGTATACGTAATTTTAGCTGGTACTAAAGAGTAATAAAAGCTTAACAAACCAAAGTTATTAGCAATATTATAATAAATACGAAAATATAAGCCCTTATTTACCTTATTTTTCTAATACGTTATCACTAGCCCTCTTGATTATGACTATTCTAATAAAAAAAAAAAGATAAAAAAGATTGTTTTATTCAAAAAATCGACAATGAACCAGAATACCATAATACTAGGTCTATTAATATCTAATAATTAAGATATCAACGACGGTGGACAAGAAACGACACCTCAGTGAATTCATGGTAGGCTTTGGAAAAAAGTTGCTTCTGGAGGGATAGTTTAAACATAAAAGAATTATTATATCAACATTTTGTTAGTCTCAGCAGCATTTTTTTAACTTTTGATTGCTTTTCTAAAAAAGCTTTTCTTCAATAGAGAAAAAAACTATCAAAATGTTGATCTAATAACACTTTGAGGTTTATACTATTAGGCCAAAAGCAACTTTTTTCCAAAGCCTACCATGACTTCACTGAAGCGTCGCACAGTGCTTCGTCCCATGGACAAAAATCAAAAAATAAGTTAAAATTTACTAATATCTGAATATATAATTTTATACTTATAGCAATGTTCAACCATCTTGTATTTTATTTTTCATAAACAGCGTTTTTGTTAGCAAATATTTTCACTAAAAATAAATTTTGCGATCATTAGCGATCATTATGTACTGGACATTAGCGGTAAAATCTGCCTCTTTGCGGACGATACTAGTTTCACTTGGAGCGGCCCAGATGTTGCGGCGCTATATGATACTATATCCAATGACTTACGCACCATTAAGTCTTGGTGCGATTCTAATCTCCTATGCCTCAACCTATCAAAAACTAAAGTTTTGTCATATAAAAGTACTATACAACCTTTTGTACTTAATAACACTACTATTGACGTCGTGGACTCTGTGAAATTCTTAGGACTTCTTGTAGACAACTCGTTAAAATGGGACTCTCACATTGAAGCTCTATCAAAGAAACTAAGCGCTGCCTGTTTTGCGCTAAGATCAGTTTCTAAGGAACTTAACTTCTCAACCTCTAGAATAGCCTATTATGCCCTTTTGAGTCACATCTTCGTTATGCCCTTCCATTCTGGGGTACTTGCTGCGCAACAACAAAAATTTGATCGTGTTTTCATACTTCAAAAGAGAGCAGTTCGATATTTATTGGGACTGAACAGTAGAACTCACTGCCAGAATTTCTTTAAAAATTTGAAAATACTGACTCTTCCTTCTTTATTCATTTTTGAATCCGTTTGCTTAATCCGCAAGCACATATCTGCTATTCCCGAAAGGCCATCTCATAACTATCCACTTAGGAATGCAGAGCACGATCTTTATCTGCCAACCCCGAGCTCAGAACTAGTTAAGGGTTCAATACTGTACAATGCCAAAAAAATGTACAATCATCTGCCTTTGAATATCAAATCGCTTTCATTCTTTCCCGCATTTCGCAAGGCTCTAAAATCATACCTACTGGAGAGAACCCTATATGCGGTAAACGACTTTTTTGTTGATGTTTGATTATGAACAATTTTGAATTTTAAAATGTTGATCATCTCACACACTGGTCAAAGGTCAAGTATTTAATATTCTATAACTTTAAAATTATATCTATTTACTGCGTACTGTTCTAAAATTGTCCATGTATATTCTTTTTGTAATTTTAAAGACTTAACTTTTTTTGAATTGTATTATTTGTATTGTGTATTTTATGTTGTTTGTATTTTTTTGTGATTTTGTTGTTTGTGAGTGCTTTGTCGATGAAGCTGTTTTGGCTTTTTGCACAATAAAGCGTTGTTTGTTTGTTTGTTTATCTCATCAGTGAAAAGAATAACATTCATAGCAGTTCTGTATATTATGGGGTTAAACGGGTACGTGCTTAATTGAAAGCCACTATGGATATTAGAGACTTTTTAAGCCCCTTATTCGATCAGCTTTATACGTTATCCGTTATATAGAGCATGCACATTGATACAAAAATAAGGAATTACCCTATTAGTGTATAGCGTTCGCCACTATTTAGGTTCAAATAAACGGTACGCTATTACGGGATACATTTTAGCCCAGTTGCCAAGTGTAATACTTATTTGGGTTAATCAAAGAAGAAAAAAAAGAAAACTGCTACAAAAGGGTAACAAATAATACGTAAAATAGTTCCTAAAAATATATTTTTTTGTAGTCTTCTTTTGTCCTTCAAAATAATATAATCAACATATTTGAGTGACAAAAATTGGCAACGCCAAGATCCAGATCGAAAATATCGTGAAGAATTGCACCCCTTATCAAAATTATTATCTGTTTCTCCGTCAGCATTTCGAACTCTAATATTTTCAATATATTGAAATTTATCATAATAAACAATTTTCACGAACCCCAAAAGAGACAAACAAAACTCAATTTGTGAGGTTATTTGACAACGTTAACGTTTGACAGATGACGTGTTAAATAAACGGTTCAAAATCTAAAATGACAGTACCTAGCCAACAAATTTTGTCGGTTATTTTTCACAAACTGCGCATGATCAGTATAACGTTTAGCGTTTTACGTCATTTACCAAATAGGCGACCTAAAAACTCTCTATTGTTAAACAAGGTATGTACTTTAAATTTATTTCTAAACAAGTTCGTGATTGTTTAGTTTTTATTTATTTTTTAAGATGATTCTTAAATGGGTATAAAAATTTTACGTTTTAAATCTTCAAAAAGGCATTTAAAAAAAACATATCAAAACATATTGTATTTATTGAATATTTTTGTTGCCATATTCATACACTTTTAATTTTTGTATAGTTCACCTGCGTCTGCTTGCGACGAACTTTATTTTATAATACTTTTCAGATGGAGTAAATTAATTGGATGGAGTAAATAAGATTTTTTTTCATAAACGTGGGACTAAGAACATCATCATTCAGTACAATGAGAGTACTCATCATTTGTGTCAAATAAACCTAGTTTGAATAAATTGCTTACAATAAGAAGAGAAGTTTTGGATTTTTGTCCTCTAGAGCCATATGTGAAGCACTGTGCGTCGTTTCTTATTTACTGTCATTGACATCTTAATTATTAGATATTAATAGATCTGGTATTATGGTATTCTGGTATATTGTCGATTTCAGCATAATCTAATCATTTCTATTTTATTTTTTGTCACAATGTTCATGTTCAAAAAAGCTAGTAATACCGTGTTAGAAAAATAAGGTAACTAAGGGCTTATATTTTCGTATTTATTATAATTTTGCTAATACTTTGGTTTGAAAAAAGATATCAAGATGCGGTTTTGGCCATTTTTTAAGCTTTTATTACTCTTTAATATCAGCTAAAATTACATATACTATCGCATTTAATTTTTAGAAAAAAAACGCGCAATGTTTGATAAATTGTAAGACAGCGCCCCCTAGCGTCTACATTCAAAAGGTTATTATTATTGTTTATATGGTATAATATAGAGTAAGAAACTCTCTTTTAAACCAGCCCTCGTTTGTTGGATTCAGTCCGGAGTTATTAATATTTAAATAAAAACAGATCTAACCTTCCCCCATCACTTTATTGTGGCAGATAGGGGAAAATGGTTCTAATGAAAAATATTCAAAATTTACTGGAGATTATGAAGCTATTATTTACAGTACCCGTTATCTAGGCAAAATTGTGTAAAAACTCCTTTTTATTATTTTTTATAGCAGTTGCGCCCTTTAGCGGCCGTTCTACAAACTTGAAAATAGTTTCCAGCAATTTCTCATGGCCTCTAGCAGAGAATATCTAGCTACGCAACAGAAGCCTCGTTACATGTATAAAATCGTAGGTCTCAAAAGGAGACAGGCTTTCAAAGCCTGTCTCCAAATCAGATATTTTGATGCGGTAGTTTCGCTACTACATAACAGAGGGCGATAAATTTAAAAGAAAACAGTTTCCTACAAACGAAATTTAAAAGAATTTTATGCAGTGTTGCCATTGTGTAATTTATATTGTAATACTTCCTGATAAAGCCTACCTTCAAATTTGCTACATCATTTAAACATATTAAAATAGATTAGAGCTCTTTTTTCAAACGTTTAAGTATTTAACTTGCCATGTTAGTTGGAGTTAAATCTACGAGCTGAATTAAAATCACTTCCTGACGTTTGATTCTAACTGAATCCTGAATTTTGATTGTAATTCGGCGACAATATAATAAGTATTGTTCTACTATTATGACACCACTTCCTGACGTTCGATTGTGTTCATACCGTATGATCGGAAAAAAACGGCGTTAGCGATGGCTATGAAATGAAAATCGCTGTCATTTTATGTGTAAATTTATATGGGAAATGTCATCGATCGTCTTTTCTCAGCCAACTGGATGCCGTTTTTTTCGATATCATACGGTATTTGATATATACTTGCATATTTTTCATGACATTGCAATATTATGGTACCATAAAACATATCAAGTGATACCGTAATATAGTACCATATTACGATACATGGCGTTCGATTGGGCTTAAACTTGGTATATTACGTAGCTTCAGTGACATTGTAATATTATGGTACCATGAAGCATATCAAGAGGCACCATAATAGTACCAGATACGATACCATTTCCTGGCGTGCGATTGGACTTATACTTTGTATAGTAAGTGTCTTCGGTGACATTGTAATATGATGGTACTATGATGCATATAAAGTGGTACCTTCTATAGTACCATATTACGATACCATTTCCTGACGTTCATTTGGGCTCATATTTGATATATACTTGCGTATTTTTGATGATATTACAATATTATGGTACCATGAAGCATATCAGGGGGTACCATAATAGTACCATATACGATACCATTTCCTGGCGTTCGATTGGGCTTAACTTGGTATAGTAAGTATTTTCGGTGACATTGTAATATGATGGTACTATGATGCATCTACTATGATGCATATATAAAGTGGTACCTTAATATAGTACCATATTACGATATCACTTCCTGAAGCGTACCATGAAGCATATCAAGGGGTACCACAATGTAGTACCATATTACGATACCATTTCCTGGCGTTCGATTGGGCCCAAATTTGATATACTTGTGTTTCTTTATAAAGATTTGTTTAATTAATATAATTTTAATTTATTTTCCGAATTTTAATTTATTGTACGATGTCGTGACAACAACTTTTAGCCGAACTAATATATTATTAATTGTACCTGTGTCACTTTTGAAAATCTACCTAGGTCTATATAAATAACGTAGCAAACAGAAAAAAATTGTTATTATAGTATTTTTTAGTCAATTAATATTTTTTGTGCTGCATTTTAATAAATTATTTCCATTATTATTAAACGTATATTTTATTACTAACGTTTCAGCATTAATAAATATCACTATCAATCGCCCTGTATATTATTAATTTTAAAGGTAATTAAAGTTATTTTCTTAGTTAACATAATAAAGTAGTGTATATTAAAAATGTATTTTGAGAGCATATGTTTTCTAATAATATACTTAAAATTAAAGCTATTTTAAAGCCAAACGAATAATTAATATAAGTGTATCTGACAAGAAACGAACAATAGAAAGAAATTATTATACACCAGAAAAAGAATGGGATGCCAATTAAAGTCTGTTTGAATCTGGCAACTGTGCATATTTAGCCGAGCTTTAAGGCCGTCGACGTGCCGTCGATCTACGTCGATCCAAAACCGAAAGTTGAAAATTTCCAATTATATTCTGATTATGATATTGTCGCGCCATCTAGTATTTTATTTGTGCAATTTTAGCTCTTTCATTTCGAGTATTTTTCTGTTGCGTAGCTAGATATTCTGTGCCTCTAGTTATAAATAGTTTTTTCCGCAAGCCCTAAGCTAATACATTAGGAGATATAGCCGAGAGCTATTCTTAGTGGGACACCCTGTACAAGGTGCTACAAAATTTAATTTTATAGTACAAGTATACAACAAGTAGTGTTTTTATATGTTATTGACGCTACGATGCTGATATTTTTTATTGTTTGTAGTTATTCTAAAAATCTTTTATTTTTAAGTGGTATTATTCTCATCTGTGCCTACAATAAATTAATAATATCGATAATAAGAAAATCAGTAATAGAAGAAAATTCACTTTTAGAAAAAAGGTACTTTAACTGAATTCTGGTTGTTTGATTTTACTGACTTAATTTGCAGATTATCATGATTTAAGTCAAAATTGTAGACATAAGTCATAAAAATGATTTAACTGACATTTCATTGATTATTATTTATTTGAAGTCTACAAAAATAACTTGACCGTAGAATGATTAAAGTCAAAGACTTAAGAAGTAAATCATTTGAACTTTATATTGATACTGACTCAAGATTTGAATCATTTTAATAATTTTAGAAATGACTTAAAAGTTAAGATTTAAGACTTTTTAAAACTGACTTGTTGCAGTTCTGTTTATCACCTACCTCTTTAACCTGTTTTGGTTCAGGTACAGGCTCTGGTTCTGGTTCCGGTTCTTTAACTTCAGTCTCTTCAGCATCTTCTGCATCTTCTTTAACTTCAACTACATCATCCCCGTCACCATCCCCATTCTCATCCTCAACCTTAACACCTTCTTCTGCATCTTCCGTGTGCTCCTCGGGATCATACATCTCCTGATCCTCATTACCTTCAACCTCTAAAATATAACCAATAAATAAGACAATTTTAGTATTAAAAAAATTGTACATTTAAGAATAAATACTAAAAACATTCCGAACTAAAATATATTACGTAACATACCTTCCGCTCCTTCATTTTCTCCATTTTGTTCTGATGCTTCCTTCTTAGCTTCTTCTTCACGTTTTTTCTTTTCTCTCTCTTCAGACGCCTTGCGCTTCCTCTCCCTCCTATCAAACTGAGTCTTAAGAGCCCCAACAAATGTATAGTAATGCCGTCTAGTTTTTAAATGATCCTGAGAAAAAAGTATTTTAATTATAGTCACACCCCAAGAGCTTACTATCATACTTGAGCATCTTGTTCTTCAACAAAACTTCTGTGACAAAGGTCACACACAAACCCACTGAATGGCTTAAGACTTTTTGAAGACACTGCTCTATCTGGCTTATAAGCAGGAATACGATTTTGTAGCCCATCAAGAACTTCATCAAGTTCAAAAATTGGATTTTCATTTTCCATCTGCAGAGGCTCATCAAGCAAAGGTTCCAAATTAATATCTTGGTCTGCTTCAGTTTCTTCAGCAGTTTCAGTTTCGTCAGCAGCTTCAGTGACTTCATCACCATCTAAGATATATATTCAACAAAAAAAGTTAAAAAACCGATGATTTATTTGTTAAGAAAATTACCTTTTCCGCCACGAGCTTTCTCTCTTTCTTCATGCAGTTTCTTTAAATGTTCAGGTGTTAAGCGATGTTCAATCCATTCCAATCTTGAAGGAAATTCTTTTCCACAAATTCTACAATTAGGATGCAAATATCTTTTTAAACGCTGATGACCAGCTGACCTAGAATGAAATAATTTCAACATTAAGTAAGAAATTTATATTTTAGTTTTTAAAAGCAGACCTTCTATGAACCATAATTTTTCCCAAAAACTTCAAATCACACATATTACAGTGACTATTTGGCTCTACAAATGCATTTCTATCTTTAAAGTTCTTCAAACGATTTTGTCTATTCAATTCAATCATCTTGCGTTCTTCTCCCAAACGCATATTCTCTCTTAGAATATCAACACAAAGATGAATGCTTTCTTCAAAAGCCTTGATCATTTCATGATGAGCCCGACCTTAAGTATAGAATTTATGAACACGCTTACTTAAAAGTAGTATAATAAAAACTTTACCTCTCACATGTTTTGTCATCGATTCACCATCCCACATTTGTTTGTTACAAACAAAGCAATTAAGATACTTGGGAGGAATTCCAACAAACTGACCCTCCTTATCATCAGCTTTTGGTGCTAAAAATTATTTATATAAATATACATCCATACATCAGATAATTTAAATACCTTCATCCCCACTTTCATCTTTGCCGTCAGTATTTTTCTCATCTTTCCAATCTCTTTTAGTTTCCTTTTTCTCATCTTCCACTCCATCTTCTGCAGATGAGTCAACCACTGCTGAATCATCATTCTAATGATTGAAAAAAAATGGAATAAACTAAATATTCATTCAACAAAAAATATACTTTTCATACTTTAGGTTTGGAATCCTTCTTGTCTTCTTTCTTCTTACCAAAGTTCTTTTTCTCATCTCTTTTTGGTGACCGTTTGCGACTTTTATCTGATCTCCAGCCCCCACGGTTCTATATTGAATTAATAATTTAACAGGTACCAAAGTATTTAATACTTCCTAACAATACTTACCAACAAAAAATAGTACAATTAAAAAAATGTACATTTACAATATATTTTGTTCTGTTAATATTCACGTAGATACATAACTATGTCAATATTACAATAGAAAGTTTGGAATAGATTTAAAAAATATCAGGAAATCCATTAAACTAACAATACTGGTTGTGACAAAGTAATAAAATTTGATAATTTTGCAAAAGTACAGGAAGATTTTGGATATCTTTCGCATTAAAAATAATTAAAGAACTTGAAACATCAAACAAATTTAAATATAAATAGGATTTATGTGGTTCACACTGGGAAAAATAAAACAAATTTTAACAAATACAAAGAATTGTATTTAACTTGGAGGTGATGTATTCAGAATAAAACCACATTAGACCTGAAGGCAAATAATGGTAAACTTTCAGCTAGGTAACAAATTATACATAAAGCTAATGTGACCATTAAATATTTTGTGAAATTCTTTAATCAGTACAGAATAATGTACTACTAGACTAAATGCAGACAGTTATGTATTACTTATTTGAGGATACAAAGTCCTTCGGGATATTTTAAATATATGTAATGTGAAGGATTTTCCAACAACCAAATCAGTCTTACACCTATGACTATACCAATATAATCATTCAATATACTATAATGTTAGCAAATCAATAGCTGACCATTTTAACCTACCTATAAAATCCTTGTATATGCAGAAATCTAGATTATAGACACCTTTATCAATGTAACCTAGTGAACATAATATGGAGTTACTGTTAAAAATGATAGTCAATTTTAAAAGTTATACATTTTACAACCAAGCAAATTAAATATTAGTACTTTCTTTTACACTATTCCAATATGCATATATACAAACATATTATGCGATAAAACATAAAACAGTGAGGATATCCATATTATATAAAAGTGGTTTTTGGATAATTATTAATAATTAAGCAATGATATCAAACATATTTTTCAATGGTATGATCATTTCCCCATGACTTAGATTTAGATTCCTGCATCCACAGAAATAGAATATTACTTGACAAATCTTATCAGGTGGTTAACCAAAGAATATCATGCTAAGGTATAGTCTAAATATATACAAATAAGCATATTTTCCAGAAAGAAAAATGTTGATGCCTGCCATATTTGGATATTCAAAATATCATGTGAAATTTCCTCACTTTGTTTTAGTTTCATACTTTCTTACTCGGATCCTATAATTTTGGTGGATTTTTATTTATAACCTATAATTATAAGGGGGCTTCAAAAAGATTGTCAAGTATCTTCAAAATATTCTGCAATGTTGTATTTTGAGATGTTTGTTTCTATAGGTAGAAAGCAACTGGAGCAATTATTCCGTCTTGTTTTAAAGTTCTTTATTTTACTGTAAATACACTCCTCATGAAAAAATAAATAGATCTGGAACACTGCCACACACACAACAATTTGATGATATTCTTGAAGAGATGTCACACAGAAATTTACCTATTTTAGTGATAACTTTTGTATTATTATTCTTTAATTATGGCTCATCTGCAAGGTTTTCACTAAATATATTTGTATAAATATCTGCTTTTGAATAATATAAAAATAAGTACCCAGGTCAGTGAGAGCTATATCTGATCAGCATTAATAATGAAATAAAGGGTGATATTGAACTAATACCAAGTCAAAATTTCCTTAGGGCAATTACAGGTCAGTACCTACAGCTTCAATATGCATATAAATTGGATTTGGATCTTTTGTCGATGGAAAACCAAAAAATAATCCCATTTATATTTAAATTGTTTCTACGAGCAATGAAGTATAATATGAAAACAAAAATACTTCAAAATGAAGAGTTTGGATTGTAGTAGAGTAATAACGTTAAATATTCATACCTTGTTGTAAGGCTCATGACGTCTAATATCACGGCTTCGGTTACCAAAGCGACCGAAATCTCGGTTATTAGAAAAAGCCGGAGATGTATTCAAAGAAAGTAAGGACGGCGGCTGCTGTGGCTGTTGTTGCTGAAGTAAGCTACTTAAAGCTAGAGCAAGTTGCGGATTGGATAATTGGGACATAAGTCCGCCTTGATTCATATTGCCCCCTTGCCAGGGACTAACGCCGCTTTGGAAAGGTTGAGAAAAACTACGATTGTTGCCCCTGTGGCCATTGCCAAATCTTCTATTCGACATAATCTCCACTAGATACAGGAAGAAAGACATTGAGTTAAACGGGAAGGGTAAGCCGGGCGGCCGACGCCATGATGAAAACTTAATTTTTACTCATTTTCACGCTATAAACAAAGTTAAAATAAAAACATAATAATGCTTACCTTAAATAAAACAACACCCCGAGTTTATAAATGAAACTAATAGCGAGAAACGCTTATTAAAAACGACAGAAAACTTGAAATTCGCGAAAAAGCACCAAGAAAACGACTCCAAGCTGCAAAAACTGAGATATAAAATGGTCTACGATCTACGATCTACGAGACGAGCTACGTCATGTTTCTACGTGTGCCGACTTCCGGCTTCTGTTTGTCGATCAACTACGAACTAAGGATGTCGAAAATACGTTAAAGCATCGAAGACATCGATATTTGCGTTTCGATGCATTGCTTCGATTCGATGTATCAAATATTCGAATTCGATATATCCGATAAATATGTATAGGCTATAATTTACATTTCACAGCAAATATTCCTGAAAAAAAAATGCGGCTCTATATTTTTGCTAAAAATATATTGGAAATGGAAAATGAAATCGATCGGCAACTGGAGCAAATCCTTTGCAAATCAAGGTAAAGGTGTGGATCCGGTGGCTGACCTTATTGGAGGTGTAAGACTTATTTGGTTGTTGGAAAAATACTTCACATTACATATATTCCATAATTGCTGCATTTGATCATCGATACTACGCAAGCGCACATCGTCGATGTTGCCAAATTGCAGTTTATTTTCGAATTATTTGCAGTTGAAATTTTTTTTTTGATTAATACAAATTTTGATAATAATACAAATTCTATAATTAATTTCAGATTTATCTTGATATCCAAAATTAAGGTAAGAAAGATAATGAAGATTGTGAAATGAAAGTATTATGAATATATAAAATTGTAATAATAATAACATTTATTTATATATTTACATTAGAATTAAAAATTATCATTACGGATTTTTTCTTAATGGTTTGAAACTTATTAGAATTATTTTATTTCTTTCAAGTTATTTAATTTCTAGTTATTTACAGGCAACAATAGTTTTGATTATATGTATTGATGTATTGAAGTACTACCCATGTACTACCCTGACGAGTCTTATAGAACAATACACGTCAATGGGAGATAGAGGCTCTGATAGAGGTAACATTTTACCTATAATGTTACTAATATAATATACTTTGATTATAATGTTTGTATCATAATTTCTTAAAAATATCAAGTTAGTGGATTAATAGCAATATTAGACATACATTTTATCGAAGTGTGTGTTCATAAGACTAAAATAGGCTTTATGTTTTATCTTTTTCTCTTTAGAAGGGAGATGGTTTGTGTCGTAGAATACATTACAGTAGGCATTTAATATCGTGTACTTTGATATTCTTTTCTTAATTTACTGTAATTTCTTGTTTCTTATAATACCAAATCTTGACAATATGGTGAAGGTTGAGTTTTGATTTTATTAGTTTTATACCTGTGTTTATACAAGACCAAATTAAGACTTAGTTTGTCGTTTATATTAAGATCTTTCTTATAATATTTGTTATGTCTTAATCTTAATACTATATTATGCTTCGTCTGGAAAATAAATGTTAAAATATCTTAATTTTGCATATCCTATTCCATCCTTCCATTAGGAAAAATATGTTAAAAAAAACTATTATGAACATGACATGGAGCTACAGCATTTAAAAATTTAAAAAAAAGAAAAAACTTGGACACATCCCTTTTAATTTCCCGTATCTTTAATAAAGCCCTTTTTAAACGTAGCATAATAATCTAGAGCAATTAAATTAATTATAGGAATCTAGAGATTTATTTCTATTTAATTTTATTGACTATGAAAATACATAATAAGCGTTCACGTGTTGTGCGAAATATTAAAATAATAATATAGGTTACCATAATATAAATATACCGCGTACTATGATTGAAAAAAAATAGCGTCAGCGATGACTATGAAATGAAGATCGCTGTCATTTTATATGGAAAATGTCCTCAATCGTCATTTCCCAGTCAACTGGACGCCGTTTTTCCGATCATACGGTATATATTGACAAAAAAACACTGAAAGCACATATTTGTTTTCTACTGATTATACTACTGATAATAATTCCAAAATAACTTGCAAACTGGCAACATCGAAGATGTGCGCATGCGTAGTATCTGTGACTATATGCAGCAAAAACTCGTTTCAAGGTCAGCCACCGGATCCACACCATTACCATAAATTTAAAAAAAAACTAGTAAAAACACAGTTAAATCGTATTCTAACAATGCAAATGATCAATCTAACCCGCTTACAGTGCCTCTGGTATCAAACCGAGAAACTTGCTTTAAAGTAATTTAATTATTAATTTAAAGCAAGTTACTCAAACCGAGTAACTTGCTTTAAATATGCCCATCATAGAATAACTAACTGAACTGAAATGCCCATTGTCGATTCGCCTCCTCCTTCGAGCCTCCATACTTAAAATTCTAGTTTCCGAATATAATATGTTGCCTACAGACTTAACGATATGAGTATGAGTACCAATTCCGTACGATCTGAGCCATATTGTTGTCAAAAACTGGTCAACCGATGAATTAGCGCAGTGAGACAAGCATAAAGGAGACCGATTTAAGTTCGATCTACTCTTTGGTATCATCTATAATCAAGGGTATTACTCATTAATTTTTAATTACAATTTGATAGGTGGATGGTAAATGGATGAGCAAAAATCTTTATTTTCAATTTTCAACTCAATAATATACAATTTAAAAAAGTTGTCCATTTCTCTTTCAATCTGATTTTAAATGAAAAAGAAAAGAAACCGAAACTTTGACTCTTTTTTCTTTTTAATTTAAAATTATAAAATAATAAATATAATCCTTATAATATAATATAAAATTATAATAAAAAAAAATTATCAAATAATAAGATTTACGAACTGTTTACTAATTACAAGAAAACAAAAAGATACAATATTACATGAAGTATATCGGACAAAGTAAGAACTGTGAGAAGTAACCAAGTCCCAGTACTTCTTGTCTAGCCTTATAAAAATAATAAAACTAGAATCGAACGGTAATACTAATATTTGTTTCGATATATCGACAAACAGCGATGTATCATGTATCCATACCAAGGTTCCATACGATGCAAAGATACCTTACTTACGATCAAAGAATATTTTTGGAAAGGATGATACACATCGAAAAAAAACATCGATATATTCTATACGTGGACATCCTTATTACGAACCTTAGAAAGTTGTCGTAGTAAAAAAGAACTATAATATGCATTTTGATTGGCTCAAATTATATTTTGAATTTTGAAGTACGGTCCCTTCGGTGGGTCCCTTTTGTAGCAGGAAAAAAGTATTGATGGTTTGATTTCCTTGTAACTTGTAATCATGTAATGAACCTGAATGAAACCATGAAACGTGTCTAACTTCACGTGTATATTATAGTTGTCCAAATTGTCAAATATTTGGTCTTTTATTTGAGTACGCAAATTTTTAATAAAGTTTAATAATGGCTGATTGGGATACAGTAACCGTACTAAAAAAGAAAGCCCCAAAAGCGGGTGTAATGAAAACTGAACAAGCAATCAATGCCGCTCGACGACAAGGAGTTCCTGTTGACACCCAATTAAAATGTAAGTACACACTACTGTTCTAGAATTTTTTGATTTAAATCACATCAATTCTATTTTAGGGGGCGCCGGCAGTAACAAACAACATGTTACAACAAAAAATACAGCAAAACTGGACCGAGAAACGGAGGAACTAAAACATGAGACAATTTCTTTGGATGTTGGTAAATTAATTCAGCAAGGTCGTCAAAGTAAAGGTCTATCCCAAAAGGAACTTGCCACTAAAATAAATGAAAAACCTCAAGTTATCACAGATTACGAAGCTGGAAAAGGTATTCCAAACAATGTCATCCTCGGAAAAATTGAAAGAGCCATTGGAATTAAATTAAGAGGAAAGGATAAGGGAAAGCCATTACAACTCCCTGAGAGCAAAAAATAGAATCCTAGGGGATGATTTTTGTTGCATCGGATACAATCTTCATTGTTAGAACTGTAGACCACATTGAATATCTCTAGGTGTTCGCATTTAATGAGTCTGCACCATTCTCATGTTTTATTTTATTGGAATTTAACATTACTGCAAAATTGCATTAAGGTGTATTAAGTCTTTGTAATAAATACATGCAATTATAAAAATAAATGCGTATTATGTTCCTGTGATCTTAACAAAGATTTACATTAACCTACAATCTACTTGTGAGAAAAAAAACATGATCTTCAGTAATTTTTTTATTTGAATATTAATGGAATTTTTCACCAGTAAAATCATTTAAAATAAAGGTAATTTAATTCAGTAAACCTTAATCTTTTCTTAATTCAAAAGTCTCCTGTGTAATACCATCTTTAGTGATTATATTAATTGAAATGCTATCTCCAGTGTATATATCTCTTTCAGCAGCAGAGATAAACACATCTTTAATAATTGACAATGCCCTTTCTTTTGTTACCGATTCGGGTTTGACATTTAGCATATTCTTTTGCCCAATTTGGTTATCTAAAAGAGGTTGTAAAAGAGCTCCTGCAGATCCTCCAGCTCTGTATGTTGCTTTTTCACAGTGTCCAATTGGATCATAGCTGTAGACACATCCTTTACCTTCATTATCTAATCCAACTAATACATTGGATATGTAGTATGGAAAAAATCGCTTATAATATAGCATTGTTGATAACATTTGTGCACATGCTTCAGTTGACATAACTTTATTATGTTCCTGCTGGTACATCTGCATTCTGGACTTTAAAATACGCGTTAATGTTAGTGTATCGCACCAGCATCCTGAACATCCTAGTACTGTTGTACCAGACAATGAAAATAATTTGTTTTGCTCTCTTGTATAAATAGAGAATCCTGCGCTAAGACGTGTATCAGCTCCAATAATTACAAAGTCGTTACCGGCGATAGCAACTATGCTCCTATAAGAATTGGGTAAATTAACAATTGGAATGAGGACTTGTACGTACTTACCCTCCATTATCGGCATAAGGATTAAAATGATGCTGTGTTGGTACTGTGGAATAATCAGGATAATAAGGCCTAATCGCAAGAGACATTTTTGAAACTAATTATGTTACAAAGTAACTTTTCTGTAGTCCAAAACTTTGCCAAAAACTGAATACCGATCCTCAAAACAGTATGACAAAGATGACAATGACAAACAAAATTTTCAAATTTCGAATTCAAATACCATTGACAGTATTGACAAGATTGACAAGTAAAGCCAAGTTTTGTAAAGTTCAAAATCTGAATTTCTTATCTATGGGTACCAAAGCTCAAGGGCTGTTTCACTGTTTACTTGATTCTCGATTCTAGCACTGCCCTCTCTTTTAGTTCTAAACAGTTCGATCACATTAGCACTTTTTATTGTTAATCTAAGATTAGCACCATGGTCATGTGCTTGGGTTATGTGGACATTTACGTTCAGCGGATCTTACACAGTCAATTGGATTTTTCATCTCATTCGCCAAGTCGGTCTGCCATTGACCATGATATTGCCGAGAACCGCAGTTCGGTTTCCGCATAACCCTAGCTAGGCCCAGCCCTAGTAGCAAAAAGAGGACGTCTCTCGGTCGAAATCCCGTTTCGAAACTCGACTATGGGCGCGTTCAGGGACGTTCAGCGGCTGAGTGGCTGAGAGCAGTTTCCCTAAACGGTCTCTCTTTACACGCAAAAACAGTCAACCACTGAGGGTGCAGCCACACTATCCTAAAAACGGCGTATCGGCGTAACGACCTTGAATCGATTTCCAGTAATTCTATTGGCTGAAATTTTTGACAGATGAATTTGACAGATAAAATTTCTGACAGATGAATGTTTCAGCCAATAGAATTACTGGAAATCTATTTAAGGTCATTACGCCGTTACGCCGATACGCCGTTTTTAGTATAGTGTGGCTGCACCCTGAGTAAAATACTCAGCGGTCGGTCAGCCGCTGTGTTCCCTGAACGCGCACTATATTATGAGCCTAAGCCTAACTTAAAATTTACTACGAGCCGTACCGAGGCCGTACCTGTGGTCGTATAGTCCTGGTAGCCTAAGGCCGATAAACGGAAGAGAAGAAATAGAAGAATAGGCTGGATAGTTCAGTATGGTTCTAGCTGTGGTTCTAGCCTTAGAGTAAGATTCTAGCGTGGTTCTAGTTTGGTTGGTTTGGTTCTAGTTAAGGTTCTAGTAGCTTAGGCATGGCTTAGGCCTTTCACTTTAATAAAAAGTACAGAAGAATTAACAACATAACGTGAACATAACCATAAATTACATTAATTACATTTGCTACAAAACGTAAACTATTTGAGTTAAGAGAAAAACAATTTCGAATTTCATTGGCATGGCTACCCAGTCACACGAATATTTTGGGCAACGATAAAGCTGATCAGTTAGCAAATATTGGAAAGACAAATGGTCGAGATGCTGAGATTAAATGTTGGTTTACTGATTTTATTCCAATTCTTAAGGAAAAGTTTTGGTCGTTATGGAAAGGCAGATGGAAGGAGATTTCTTGTACAAAAGGGACAAATTATGCAGAAATTGTTACTTTTCCCTACAAAAGCATATGGTTTAGATCATGTAAAGATTTTACAAAGAAAAGATTGACAACCTTCTTCAGATTAAGAAGCGGATATTGTCTAATTCCGTCCCATTTACATCGTATAGGTGTAAATGCAGATTCCTTATGTGAATGTGGAGAAATTGGAACGTTAAACCACATCTTTTTTGAATGCAATAAATTTCCCGCTTTAGTAGATAAACTATATAAATCACTTATTGGCTTTTACAAAACATCCCCTCATAATTTTACCTTCGCTTTGCATGCTCATCCAATTGTAGTTAATATTATAGGCGAAGGTAAAGGTGTGGATCCGGTGGCTGACCTTGAAGCCTATATTTGCTGTATTTGATCAACAATACTACGCAAGCGCACATCGTCGATGTTGCCAAGTTGCAGTTTATTTTCGAATTATTTGCGGTTGAAATTTTTTTTTAGTGTTAATCAATAATAATACAAATTCTATAATTAATTTTATAATTTCAGATTTATCTTGATATGCAAAATTAAGGTAAGCAAGATAATGAAGATTGTGAACTTTGATTATTAATTTACTTTGATTATAATGTTTGTATCATAATTTCTTAAAAATATCAAGTTAGTGGATTACTAGCAATTTTAGACATATATTTTATCGAAAAGTGTGTTGATAAGACTAAAATATAAGCTTTATGTTTTATCTTTTTCTCTTTAGAAGGGAGATGGTTTGTGTCGTAGAATACATTACAGTATTTGGTAATTACCCAGTATTTAATATCGTGTACTTTGATATTCTTTTCTTAATTTACTGCAATTTCTTGTTCCCTATAATGCCAAATCTTGACAATATGGTGAAGGTTGAGTTATGATCTTATTAGTTTTATACCTGTGTTTATACAAGACCAAATTGAGACTTAGTTAGTTTGTGATTTATATTAAGATCTGTCTTATTTTCTTATAATATTTGTTATGTCTTAATCTTAATATTATATTATACTTTTTCTGGAAAATAAATGTTAAAATATCTTAATTTTGCATATCCTATTCCATCCATCCATTAGGAAAAATATGGTTTATAAATCACATATGCTAAGAAAATCACATAAATTAGGTGTAAGAATAGAGAAATCTTAAGGTAGCAGAAAAATTAATGCAATATATGTATAAGCAGAATTAAACAAGAGGTATAACTGTTAATGTTGTTGAAGCTGATTCTACAATTTTAATTACGGAGGCTAAAAGGCCTTTTAAGGCGTCCGTAGTTTTGATGGAATGTTAAAAAAACTATTATGAACATGACATGGAGCTACAACATTTAAAAATTTAAAAAAAAAGAAAAAACTTTTTCCGTTTTAATTTCACGAATTTTTAATAAAGCCCTTTTTAAACGTAGCATAATAATCTAGAGCAATTAGATTAATTATAGGAATCTAGAGTTTTATTTCTATTTAATTTTATTGACTATGAAAATAGATAATAAGCGTTCACGTGTTGTGCGAAATATTAAAATAATAATATAATATACCGAGTACTATGATGGAAAAAAGCGTCAGCGATGACTATGAAATGAAGATCGTCATTTTACCTGGGAAATGTCCTCAATCGTCATTTTCCAGCCAACTGACGCCGTTTTTTCGATCACACGGTATATATTGACAAAAAACACTGAAAAGCACATATTTGTTTTCTACTGAAAATAATTCCAAAATAACTTGCAAACTGGCAACATCGAACATGTGCGCATGCGTAGTGTCAGTGACTATATGCAGCAAAAACTCGTTTCAAGGTCAGCCACCGGATCCACACCATTACCTAGGCGAATTCTTAGATAGTTGTGGAATTAATCTTTGACATTTTAAATGAAATTGTTATTAAATTTGTTTATTTTGCAGGATCTTCCTTTGCCATCATTTTCTTCAACTCAACAGTCGGGGTATGGGATTTCCCAGGCTCGCTTTACAGCGATCCTCGTCTGTGTGTCATCATCTATATAAACGCTCAACCGTAGGTAGTTAATTCTACCATCCGGCCGGATAGCCCTGGCAGCTGTGGCCATTAAACAAATATACTACTACTACTATAACCATAAATTTTAGCAAGATTAGAATAAGATCTCTGGAGATTAGATTGAGTCTCTTGGAGATTGATTAGAGCAATGACTATAAAATGTTATTATTTTATTCTATATTTATTGGATTAGAGCAATGATTAGAGTCAGAGTCATAGAGAATATTACTTTTCTGTGTACGGAGGCTAAAAGCAGCTAAAAGATTTCAAGTCCTCAGTAGATTGGAGATTAGCGCAGATTCAAAAGTAATTAATTTTCTTTCAATTTGGAGCATATTTGGAGTTTAAAGGTACTGTATGACAAAAGTTCTTTGACAATTACTAAAATAGTTCGCAAACAATTTGGAGTAATTAATTCTGGTATTATTTTACATGTTCCTATGTTTTTTAGCTATGGGCAAAGTAAAACGCCTAAGACAAAAGTTCCACAATGCCTGCAGAAAGCAGAATGATAACCTAAATAACACCATTAGTTTTGATTCGAAAGCTTTGTCCAACATAGAACTTAACACACCAACGGAAAATATCTTTAGTGGTATAAATATAGACATAGAAAAACTTACTAACAAACTGAATGATGATGGCCAGTCTGGAAAATCATATAAATCATTAAAAACTGAATTGCAAGAAAGTAAAACTATATCTAAAACAGAAAAACTGAAAATTAGAAGGCAAGTTTTACTGAAAAAAATTGATTCGTTAAATCAAATGAAAAAGGAGGCGAAAATAAGGAAAAAGCGGAAAACAATTTCAATTATTGGAGATACAAATCCCTTACATGATGCATTGCCATCATTAGAGTCTTTGTTGAAAAGTCATCCAAAAAGTCAAGATAGTAAGGTACAAGCAAAGAAAAAACGAGGTATTGAGAAAGCCAAGGTAAGAAAAAAGCAACTTGTACAAGGAATTAAAATATTTAATGCTGTGTTAAACAATAAGCATTTTCAAAAAGATCCTAAACAGGCAATATCTCAGCATATTCAGAATTTTGTTAATTTAGATAAGCAAAAGGCAGGTAGAACACATTCTTAGAAAGCAGTATTTAGAATAATAATAGAAAGTTTGTTTATCTTACAATTGTAAATTTTACTGTACAATTGAAAAAAAGGGACATGTTGACTTGGCAATGCCCGCAATTCTCATTTCCAAACCAAACTAATGTTGTTTATTTTTCTGTCTTATGGTAAACCTACTATTATGTTTTAAGATCTTTTGATTTACTATTGTTATTTTAAGTACATATTATTTATAAAAGGAAAAAAAAGTTGTTTAGCAATAAAATTATTACCTCATTTATATTTTAACAATTTATTTGTATTTCCTTTAATAACCAGTAGTTAAATATAACATAAAGAACAAAACATTTATTGACCTTAAACTCATTAAATCAAAAACAAAAAATATATACTTAATGAAAATTAAGCCAAACTTCTTGCCTTATTTTCTTGTAAATGTTTTTCAAATTGTTTTCATATACTTTTATAGAAATAATTTATTTTGTATTTATATACAATCAGCTTAAAATATAAATAACTAACTAAGGTGCAGTCGATAATTCTTCTTGTATACTGTGTGATCTAAACAATGCTTTTCCCCCTATTTGACTCGTCGAGGCTTGAGCAGATTCTTCACGTTGTGAATGATATTCTTCAGAGTATTCCTGTAGTAATAATTCGTTGTTAGTCAATTATAAATTATATTATCTGTAAATATTACTTTTATTCTATGACCTAAAAATATATTTCTTTCTCGCTTCTTGATCATGTAGTCTGTTGGCAATAGCCATCTGTTTTCTTGACATTCTTCTGGTGTTGGCCTTTTGCTAAAAATATAAATATGTAAGATTTACAAATTATATACTGTTTTATTTAATGATAAAATGGACCTGTTATCAAGACTTCCAAAAATAGAAAGATAAATAGTGAAAATATTAATCACATTAATATACTCTTTTTTCCAATATTAAAATACTAGGCACTAGGTACCTAACGAGTAGCGACAGTCCTGTTTTCAATTTTCTTTGCGGCTGCGCGAAATAAGTAGGTTATCTGCAAGGATACTATAGAGATAAGGATAGTTCGATTCCTATCTTCCTGCACTGTCAGTTTTTTTACGTCAGCTACTGACCGAGTTGAAGTTGGTGCTAAAGATTTTAGACAGTGACAGTTATTTTTGCATTTGACGGACGAGCGCACAGTGCGTTGGAAGATAAATTTAGCGGGACAAAAGCGTTTGGTTAGAAACAGAGAGAAACTAATAACTAAAGTGAGAGGGCTTGGGGAATAGGGCATTTCGTAGACAAGTTTATTTTGTCACCGCGCATCCCAGACGCGCATAGCGTTTAGGCGGTCAAAAAAGGAAGTTTTCAACTTTGCAAGTTAAACATTTGACAGGATTGATTAGATTGTCAGTAGCTTTTTCTATTTCTTAGTTCTAGAAGGAGATAACTAAAATCTGTTGATAATCGGAGCAAATCGGAGTAAAAATTGTTTTTGACTGAACGTGCCTGTTCTTTTAGCTTGTTAAAAGAGAAGATTATTTTCATTATTGATTATTTCAGATTCCACGATTATTCGGCATTTTTGTAATTTTTGTTTTGTGGTTGAGACCCAGACAAAGACCCAGACTTTCCTTTAAAGGTAAGTTTTATCTCTGTAATTATTTTAACATACCTAATAGTAATAGTGAGTGCACATAATAATCGTACATTGCTAATTTATTTTTTTTTAATTTAAAACATCACATTCTTTTCTGATACCTATGGAACGACTAGGTATTATACCTGGTATTATTTCCAGTAATACAAATTATTTTCTTTAACTGCTAGGTTCTTGTTATAGAATAAAGACTATCAAAAACATTGAATACCTACGGGATACCTACTGATACTCTATGCGAGCTCCCAACCGTGCTTCCCTGTTCACTCCCAATCAAGTTAGATAAAAAAGATACTGAAGATTGCAGCCTTGAGTTGGAGTATGGCAAGGAGTATGGAGTTAAATAAATTATTATGTTCCTACACAGTATTTTATTTATAGGTTTTAATGCTTTAAAGTCTAATAAATTTTCGTTGTCAACAAAATAATCTAAAAAAACTACGAAGATTTCTTATTATAAACTTGAAAAATTAAGATTCGGTTCAAATATACAAATTTTAAATTTTTGGCGCCAGTATATAGGTATGAATGCAACTTACTATATCGATAATGCGCTCATAGTTCAGGTTAGACGCCAAAGGCCGCGCCACTAACACAGTCTTCAAAAATTAACGTTGATCGGTCTCTCTCACTTTAGTTATTAGTGTTCTCTCTGGTTAGAAATAAGCCAAAAAATGTGTACTGATAAGAATAAATAGTAGACATTCCAATTGATACAAAAATGCATGAATATTCTTTGTATTTCGATACATTTGTATCAACCAAATTTGGTCGTTTTCTGCTCAGCAAGGCAGAGATCATACGAAAACAAAATATTTACAAGTGCAAACAACTCCATCAAAATGCACTGAGTTTAAAAAATTGTAGATACTTACTATATATGAATTTACAATTACCGAGTGTTAAAATTAAAATTAAAATATCTATCTCATTTATTATTTTCAAAATAGAATATATTTTTTTAAAATAAATTATAGAGGGTGTCACAAGATTACAAATTAATTAAAAAAAAACTGCTAAAGAGTTTTTTGATATCATAATTTTATGTATTTGGCAATAGTTTATAATACGGTTTTTGTGTGTCATGTACGAATAATATCATAGTTTTATTATCTTGTATTTATTTATTAATAAATTAAGTTGTTAATAAATAAATAAATTTAATTAATTTATTAAAAATTAATCTTACTCTTGAGTTTTTGTCCCGCTAGAATAACCATCCGCCGCACTGTGGAGCTCTGGTCAGCGCGTGACGTAGCATTCCACGGCGCCATATAGTTGCTATATATTAGACCATTTGCTACGTTCTTAGATTTTAAGTCCCAAACATTGCTCTTGAGTTTTTGTCCCGCTAGAATAACCATCCGCCGCACTGTGGAGCGCTGGTCAGCGCGTGAAGTAGCATTCCACGGCGACTACGACAGCGGCGATTTGACGCGATCGAACAGTCCTTTAGAATATATACAGTCCTTAGATTATCTGTCATATGAAGAAGCGAAGTTGCCACTGTTGCCATTTATCAAATATCTCTATATACTTTATTTCAAGTATACCTCAGGCAACGAATCGTTTTTTTAATTATTTATTAGCTTTAAGATATTTTATACATTCAAATTTAGAAATACGGATAAAACAAAACAAAAAAAATATGTATAAACTTTATAATTAATTCCACTTCAAATTATGAGCAGTGTATACCATGTTTATAGGACCACTTCATAAGTTGAGCAATTAAATACGTAGTCTATCTGTCACGTCAAAAGAGAGAGAAAGAAAATTTGGTCCCACCACATCAAAAGAGCCGACGGTTTCTGTCGCTACTCCTGGTACCTATATCAAACAAATTTTCAAACTTGGATTCAAAATATGACAGAACCCAAATTTTGCCTTAAGTTAAACATCCCTTGTTTTTGGGAAAGTGAGACTAGATTGGTTTGAAAATGACAATTGATTACATTTTTTATGTAAAATTATATGGTGAATGTTATTTATTGTCATTTCGAAGCAAACCCTGACGCCATTTCTTTAGATTGTACAGTACATCTACAAAGATATTGTGGTGGCTTATTAATGTTTCATTTTATTGCTATATCCCAGCAAAGATCTCAAGAAGATCTGGTATTATAAAAAAATCTACAGGGTGTCACATTTTCGTGTGTTTTATGAGGGTTTTATAGTGTTTCTCGTTTATGAGTAGAGATGCAAATGAAGAAACAATGCGGTATTGACATACAAAAAAAATGCGCTATTTTTTATGAAATTAAAGGTGCTACACACAGATTGGTCCTAGCCCTTTTATTTCCTGACATACAGGGCGAATTTTAATATGTTGCATTTTTCCGCCCCCTTTGTAACTTGCTTATCTTATAATTTATCTTAGTAATAAGCTTAATATATCATAGCAATTTTCACGTAGAATTCAGTGGCGTAACAAGATTTATGCTGGGTGCTGTCTTCTTAAAATACGAACCAAACTTATTTGTTTTAAATGGGATACCCTTATGTTATTTTTTTTATTTTATTTGCATTGTTATAAGTTTCTAAAGATATAATCACAGAGAACATGTGATATAATCATGATATAATATACTTACTTTATATTTATTCTCATAAACAAGATAAAAATACATCATTTAACTTTTTAACATAGACGGCCGGTTTAGATTAGGTAATAAAAATCATCGAATAATTTATTCGACGGCATATTTTAGTTATTGGCTATTCCACGTTAGTTTCTGTATATGTGAAATTATTGTACAAGTGCATCAAAAATATCAATAAGTCCGATTGACAGCCGTGTTATATAAAAGCTGCACAAGTTACTGGCGGATAGAGAGGGTGGACCCATGGATGGGTATTAGGCTTTTGGGTTAAAAATGGCACCAAAAAACCATATTCTACATTAATTTTTATTTGCCAGAAAGCAAAGTTACGTGGTTAAATAAAATAAAATAATAATGCTCGTTTAAACTAGGTTGATTTACATTAAATAATGTATTTCTTACCTTATGAAAATAAGTATAAAGTATAGTATATTATTTAATTTTTTCTTGGCTTTAGGTCAGGTAAACAATGAGAGAAACAGTTTTTTTTATATTATAAATTTCATTGACGTTTCGACCTGGTACGGTCTTTGTCAAAATTTATTACTTGAAAGTAGATTTCGGCGCATTGTTTTAGTTTTTAATTTTTTTTTAATTGTTTTCTTTTTTTTTAACTAAAACAATGCGCCGAATTCAAGTAATAAATTTTGATAAAGACCCTACCAGGTCGAAACGTCAATGAAATTTATAATATAAAAAAAACGTTTTTCTCATTGTTTACCTGACCTAAAGCCAAGAAAGAATTAAATAAAATATATATTGAGAGGTCAAAGAAAAGAATAAAAAAAACATGTATAGTATATTTTTAGAAAGCTCATAACAGGGCAAATAAAATAAACAAGTGGGTCCAATTTAAAAAAAAAACATAAGTTTGACTCTCATATTTCGAAAATTACAGCTTCCAACAAAAAAACTAGTTCCGCCACTGGATTCTACGTGAAAACCTCTCCTGGAGCTCAGGTTTCAGAACATTTTCAGTTCGCCCTGTATGTCAAAAACCAAGGGGACTAGGACAAATCTAGTGTAGCATAGTAGCTCAGTGATGTGAAAACGGCATCTTTGTAGCTTTTACTCATAAACGAGAAACCCCATAAAACAAACAAAACTGGGAAACCCTGTACACCACTATGATTGCTGTTTTGTAAGAATATTTTAGTTATTTTTCTTTTTAGTAGAAAAAATTATAAAACTTATATTTAATAAGAAAGTAATATTTTTTTTAACTTACTTGGGTTGTCTTTTAAATAGAAGCATAATAAATCTAGTTGCTTCTTGCGAAACTTCTTGATATAAATGTTCAAATCTGTATCGCACAAACAATATATTTTGGCGGGTTTCTTGTTCATCTCCACCTTTAAATGGAACCGTTCCCGAAAGCATCAGATACGTTAGTACCCCTACCGTCCATATATCAGTTTGAGGATATGCTGGCTCTTCAGCAAGAACCTCAGGCGCTAAAAAATAATATTTAACTGGATTCAAGGTAGTATAAGCAAAAAATATATGTCTTACAAATATAATCACTATGACCAACAACTGGAACTTTATTTCCCAGCTTCGTTACACGGTGAGCTGATCCCATATCAACCAATTTTATTTGGACAGATCTAACGCCAGCCATTACAACATTATCAGGCTGCAAGTCTAAATGGCACAGGCCTCTCCAGTGAAGGTATTGCAATCCATCAAGTACCTGAAAGACAAACAATATATTATAAGCAGATAAAATACAGGCCTGGCCATCTTAAATTAATGGTCTGGATTTTATTATGTTAGATAATGATAGAGATATACCAATTCAAGAATTAAATGTTTTAAAAAATGATAAAAAAAACAGAAAAACAAAGAAATTGATTGATTTGATATAGCGATGGGAACTATCGAATGAATTAGACTATCGAATGGTTACTGAATGAATGATTTCAACTATCGAATGGTTTTATTCGAATAAAATCATTCATTCATTTGTATACTAAAGCATATGTGACAACCTCGCCGTGCGACTAAATGGTTATCGTTGAGCCACGACTAACGAATACTTTTGATAAATGAAATTTAGTATTCGTTTGATTTTTGTGTGCGTCAGTGCATTATTAGCTCTTATATATCTAATATAAATACTGTGCTATTTTTGCGTTTATTAATATATTTAAAATACTAAAGTAGTAGTTTTTTTTTAATTGACGATTGTGTGCGTGTGCAGGTGGTCAACATTTTTCCGAAAATTTGTGTGATTTTCCGTAGCCCGATCTTTCAATTATTTTATTTTATATGGTATATGGTCTCTTTTTTAATGGGAAATTTTGAGAAGTAGCAATTTTTAAGAGAGATGAGATGAACTTAGAATTAATTTTAAAAATATATATTTCTATTTTAGATGTTTTAATAATATGAATTAGTTGAACTTAATAATCATATTTAAGTAATGTGGTTAAGTAAATGTGGTTATTATCGAACTCGAACTATGGGATGAGAAAATTAAATTGAAAGTTTTACACGTGCCAATTTAAAAAAAAAGTTAACGATGTTTGTATTTTGTTTATGATAATTCTCTTACATGTAGTTTTTTGCGAAGAAATATTTCATTTATTTTTTAAAGTAAATGCCAGTAAAAGTAAATATTATTTTTAAATAGTAATATAAAGTACCTAATATGAATAATTTTGATTTCTAATTTTTTATTTATATTTTCCTTTCATTACACTGCATGCTTAGAAAATTAATAAATGTTTATGTTTCATGATTTTAAAGTTTGTTGTTAATATAACAAATTAGTTCTGTAATTATTATTATTTAATAAACCAACGTTGCCACAAAAAAATTTAAAGACTATATTATTTTTAAATAGGATCTAATATAAATAGTTTTGACATCTAATTTGTTGTTTATATTTTGCTACTACGTAAAAAAATATTTATATTAAATTATTTTAAATATTGTTGTTAATAGGTATAACAAATTATTACTGCTATTATTATTTTTTATTAAACCAGTCTTTGCTTAAAAAACATTAAAAATCATTTTCCTACATCCAAAATAACAAGTATTATTGCAGTCTAACAACAGAATATTAATAAAAAAAATGCAAAACATATAGACATACTATCCCTAACTAACTAAAGCCAAACAATAATATTCTTTGCTAATATCAACTAATACCAATATATGGCAACAGCGCCCTTCATAATGTATTTTCTGTGTAAATACTAGCACCTCAATAAAAAAAATAATGTGTCCTTATCTTTTTTATATGACTCCGCAAAAAATCAAAGATGCCGGCTTCTTTCATAGCATTGCCACCGACCGCTGTCGGGTTTCTCGGAAAGAAACCTACGTCGCCGGGCGACAACTAAAATCCAGTTAATATTTTATTATAATCGATCCTCACGAATAAATGAATTTCATAAATGAATAAATTTTATAAATGAATGGTTTTTGCTGCCGAATTACTAGAATACAATATTTCAAGGCAGATGACGCATCTATTCGATAATTTTTATTCGAATAGTTTTCAACGAATATTTTCTTAATAGCTATCGAATTATTCGAATGAATTGCAACTATCGAATGTTTCGATAGTATTCATTCGATAGTTCCCACTACTAATTTGATACATTGTTTCTACCCGGCATTACTATATTTTGCATCGAGGATTTCGAACTATCAAATTATGACCTTCTAAAAGATTGCAGCTAGTGTTGGATTAGTTATCAACACTTAATTTATTAAAAATTAATTTGTCATTTTACGTTAAAAGGGGTCCTACATGCAAAGATTTGATCTGCAGTTCAGATCTTAAAATCGATAGAATCTTTTTACACTACACGTTCAGATTTTATAAAAAATAATTTCGTCTGTCGATAGTCTAGTACACCTCCTGCGAAATCTGTGGTCTGGGCAGTTAAAAATATTCAATATGTTGAAAAATCGCAGATTTTTTCGAAGCCGCAACTACACGTTGAGATTTGGACTGAATCGAAGAACTGTACAGTTCAAATCTGTCAGATATTGTTGCGTGTAGGACCCTTTTTATTAACCGGCAACCATACAATTCATTGAGTCATTTCTCGATTGAATATAATATTGTCAACTGTCTTTATCTTACATGTTAAAATGTAGACCCATGGATTTAGAATAATCAGGCTAGTACGATAATATATACCTGATTAATAATAGTCGCTACAGTTTGCTCTGTATATTCGTGCTTACTAGCAAGGTAAGTAAGAACGTCAGCTCCTTGAAGTTTTTCTAAGATAAATACTGCCTTATCACCAGAGTGATAAGCCCCCAAAAGGCTTGCAATTCTTTCGTGTCTTAATGACCTGAGAGCTGTAAATTCACCTTCGACCTCATCTTTTTGTTCCTGGTTGTTCATTTCCAGGACTTTAGCTACCACAACCGCATCGTTATTTTTATCTACAGCTTTAAGAACTGTACTAAATCGGCCTCTAGAAATTTCAGATATAAAGTTGTAATGCTCTTGAATACTAGCGTGTTCCCATTCAATAGGTTCACTTTCGATTTTGTAATTGTTTCTGAAAGGTTTCTCTTCTTCTATTTCCTTGCCACTGTCAGTGATAGATTGCAAATGTGCCATTGCTTTGCTCAGCTCAATCTTTTTACTACCTATAAAGATACTATAATAAGTAAAAATTGACTTTTGATTTATATTAATAACATACCCTCTGACTTAGTTGTTACAGGTGCAGTTGGTACTCCTTGATCACTCCATCCAATAGCGTTTTTAGCTGCTAACCTAAATATGTACGTTTGATTAGGCTCCAAATTGGTGACTAAATAAAATTCGTGATCAATGTTATCAGCCTTCTTTATCCATTCTGTATCGTCAGCTACTTTGTATTCTAGTTTATAGCAAATAACAGCTGAGTTTCCATCGTGTTTCGGCTGTTTCCATGTTAAAAGTACCTCCGTATCGGAAATTTCGCTAATTTCCGGACTATCTGGCTCATCTGGAACAAGTCCTAAAACTACCCTAGTTCTGGCGATCGTCTGTCCAATTTTGTTTCTGGCCACGACTTTATACATTCCTTGGTCAAACGCCAAGGCCGGTGTAAGGCGATAATGTGAACGACCTTCGGCATCAGTAAATATTTTTATACGATGAGATTCAGCAACAATTGAATCGTTTCTACATGAAAATAAAATTATTTTTCCAACATCAGTCACACTATCTTTATTGATAACTTACTTGAACCACTGAACAACAGGAGTGGGTTCACCAACAGCTAGACAACTCAATTCCAAATCTTTTCCTTCAATCATAGCAGTGATTTGAGGCTTCTCTCTAAAGAATGGTAATCTGCCTTCCTGTTTGCTTTCAATGACAGCCTGTGCTTCAACATATGTGTCCAAACGCGATCCTAATTCATGCTTAAGCCTACGTATATAAGGTGTGTCTGTTGTACCGTATCTATTGATACGTGCTTTTCGTTCATCGTCAATTTCTTCATCCATTATATCAGTGAATCTTCGCCGCTCTCTTATTATTGGTGTCTATTGAGAGATACATCAAATAAGTCAATTTAAAATTGAAATGTTTTTTTATTTATTTATTACTTACTCGCCAGTCATAACCATTTTCATCAGATAAAATATATCCCGAACCTGGACCTCTATTAGCAGCCACTTTCATATACTCACGGAGACGAACTGGAAAATCAACATCCCTGAGTTGAAGCAGATAGGTATCTGGTCCGTTCTGGTAGCTAGAAAAATTGCAAGATACATACAGGACTATAGAAATCTAACGATATCTTACTGGCTTTCCGATTTGAAACCACCAATTTCGTAGTTCAGCGGTGATCTTGATGGCAACTGATCTTCCCAGGTTCTCGGTCTTGGGGCTTTTTCTCTCACAGGAGATGCTCTTGGAGTGTAAATTTCACCTGGAGGGTACACCATTTTGGATGGATGAGTAAAGGCACCTTCCAGCGGTCGGCGCCTGAACCAGTTTCTACAAGATGCATTATCGTACCAATCTCTAAAAAAAAATCGCTGAATTAATAAAGAAAAATAGATTTATTTTTGTATCGAACCTGTAAAGCTTCCAGTAGTCTCTCAAGTAGCTGCTGCTTATTTGGAATTCATCTTGATATCTCTTATCACATCTTTCAAGCCAGGGATGTCTCAAAGCAGCTTTGACATCTAATCTGCCATCGGGATGATAGACTAGTAACTTTGAAATAAAATCTCTTGCATCAACGCTAGAAAGTCAAGTTATAATTTCTACTGTGCTGCATATTTTCAAAATATCCATATACCTTATTCTACTCCACCAATCATCATCAAATACCCATTTACCTTCTCTGATTCTTGTTAGAGTTTCTCTGTCGTTATCACCTCTGAACGGTGATCTTCCAGACAGTAAAATATGTGTTATAATACCTAAACTCCACATGTCATGTCCAAAGCCAACCCCTTCGTTATTAACACATTCAGGGCTAACATATTCGGGTACTCCATAACGCAATGGATACAACTGGGCCAAACTAATTCTTCTAGATAAACCAAAGTCTGTAATTTTCAGATCATCACCACCTGGGTGTGCGATGAGCAGATCGCCGAGCTATAAATAGAAAATTTAATAAAATACAACGATAAAAACATTTAGATCTAACATTTAGTCCCATATGCCCATATCCTCTACCATGCATGTAATCCAGGCCCTGAAGCAGCTGTCTAATAAATCCTGCGATATCACTTTCAGTATAATAGTCCATTTTAAGGAGATAGTCGGGTACTAGTTCTCCGCCAGCACCAAGTTCCATAATTATAGCTAAGGTATCGTCAGTCTCATAAGCGTCATGCAATGAAATGAGTTTTTTATGTCGCAGTTGATTAAGAACATCTAATTCATTATACATGAATGGACGAAGATCTCCTCTGCCGTGCATGATTTTAGCTGCCCAATTTCGCCCTAAACATTAAATAGAGAATAAGTAACAATCTAAATTACATGGTATAGTAAGTTACCGTTGAGTCTTTCAACAGCATGATAGGTAATTCCTTGAGTACCACGTCCAAGTTCGTCTCCCAGATCATAATAATCAGTAACTAGCCTTTTGTGAGTTCTAATAGGAGAAATATTACTATAAGTACGAATACCATATTCGTGATCGTTATCTTCTATGTAAAGCATGGCACTGCTTGATGCAGAACCTGCCACATTGCGAGCTGATACGGAATAGAGACCTTCATCTTTATATATCACATCGCTAATGGAAAGTACCGTAGTATCGGGTTCTTTGAAGGTAATCTAAATAAAATTTGCATTATGATATGTGTTATTACTCTTGGTATTGACTCACTCTTATTCTGCTTGAAGGTGCCAAAGGTTTCCAATCCCTGTACCACTTAATTTCTGGATAGGGAACTCCTGCAATTCTGGCAACAAATTGGACACGACCTCTTATCATACCGTATTCAATGTCGGGTCTGCGTATAAAGTACGGGGCTTCGGCAATTTCCAATCTGACTCTTTGTCTGGCCTCACCATGTTCGTTTCTAGCAACGCATTCGTACCAACCAACATCTCGATCTAACATTCTAAAGAAACACACATAAGTAAAAATGACAATTTTTTCTAATATTTTCCTAATTGAGCTATATATTGACTGTATTTTTCAATTAATTCCACATCAATCTTTCTGTTTTGGAGAAGAAAAAAGTGACAATGCCAAAGTAGAAATTATTTTTATCTCTGATTTCAATTAATCCTAAAATTTTAGGAAAAACAATAATGGAAGACTCCAGTCAAATATGGAATTGTAGTGGAAAATATTTTTTTTATAAAACTATTAATATTTTATACTATGTACGTACTTGTTAATAAATAGCGTTGCTTGTCCATTTCTCGTATAACTCCAGTCGAATCTACCTCCAGGTTCGATCAGTTCATCATTGAAATAGAAACTGATTTTGGGCTTAGGATATCCGTAAACAAACCAAAATAGATTTGTGTTTTGATCCTTTATTCCATACTGAGTAGGATGTTCCTGTCTTAGGAAAATAGGAGCTTGAGCCATGCCATCGTGAGGTGGTCTTTCGATATCAAAATCTCTTGGAAAGTACGGCGAAATATCTGGCCTGAAGTCCGTACCTGGCGGAAGATATGGCTGGAACTTGGGTAGTTCTGGTTCGAGTTTTTGCCTACATTTTGTAAAACATACATTTTTTAAAAGACAATAATCTCACCGGCACGAAAAACAGGCACCTTAAAATTTTGATATATTTTAAAGTTTTTTATATTGTGTTCTAGTGGACCGATTTTGATGATTTTTTAAGCAGTTTGTACCTAAATTATTTGAATTTTTAGTATATCTTTCTAAATTAAAAATGAAAGTTCTCATATGTCAATTATACGAGGGAACACAAAATGTTATTTTGATGAAAGTTCGGAACACCCTGTGAAATATGTTAAAAAAGCAAGGAATTTGTAAATCATTTTATCATCTAGGTGCATCTTTTCTCGATAGTTTATTTATTGTTTCATCTCAGGGCTTTATTTTTTAGGAATATTCGCTTTTGAAGAAGACACTAACATTTTTCGTAATTTTTTTGGAACCTATCAACAGACCTATAAAATAGTGTTTATCATTTGTGTAATGCCACTGTTATTGAAAAATCATATTATTATTGTCTGTTGGGTGTTGGGCAGTTACTCGAGCAGAAATGGTTTTAAGCCCAAAAGTTTGAATCCGGTATAGTTGCTTTAATTGAAGATGATAGTGATCAAAATTATGTTGCTTGCAACAGATCTAGGTATGCACGTTTATCGCTAAGAAACCACCGTTTTCCAGCTTTTCAAATTTATAATGAATTGCACCTAAGAAACGTACATATAAGTGAGCAGACTGTAAGAACATTAATCAAAGCAAATCTTATGTCAAGAAGGCCATCTTCCGGACCACATCTTACTAGGCCTGTTAACTAGGACCAAAAAAAGCAAAGGCATAGTTTTAATGTAAAAATTACGAAATATTTAATGTGTCTTCTTTAAAAGCGAATATTTCCAACAAAAATTAAGCTATTGAGATGAACCAAAAAACAAATTATAGAGGAAGGAGGTACCTAGATGATAACATTTTTTAAATTCCTTGCTGTCTTAATATATTCTACAGGGTGTTTCAAAATTTCATTAAAATAACAACACTTCGTTTTTTCTCGTATAATTCACAGATGAGACCTTTCATTTTAATTGAGAAAGAAATACTAAAAAGTCAAGTAATTTAGCTATATATTGCTTAAAAAATCATAAAAATCGGCCCACTGCATTGGAACAAAATATATTAAGCTTTAAAATACATCAAAATTTTAAGCTGCTCGGTTCTTGTGCCGGTGAGTGTATATAAATAGTTAATGTTTAACGTTGTTTACCTATGGGTAACTGCAAATGGTGAAGGGTCACTAAGGCCATATTTATTTTCTACTCGAATTCTAAACTTGTAATCTCTGAAAGGTTCCAAGTTCTTAACACCACAAACGCAACTTCTGATTCCAGTACGAGCAGTAAACCAGTCACCATTAGGCAATTCGCACATTTCCAGTTGATACGTAACAGGTTCTCTTGGACCTGATGGAATGGATGGCTTCCATGATAGAGTGCAGTGTCTGTCAGTCATTTGGGATATGATAGGTGGGTCAGCTAATGGTACTGGAGCTCCGCTTCTCTTATATTTATCAAATTCGGTATATTGATCTGCCATGGGTCTTTTAGGTTTGGCTTCAAGGCCTTCATCGAATTTCAGGGTAGCGTGACAAATGTCACTACCATGGTCGTTAAATATCTTGCACGAATACTTTCCGAGGTCGTCTTGGTCCACACCAAGTATACTTAACCGTAGTAGTCCTGCTGTGTCTTTATCCATAAAGATTCTTTTGGACGGGTATATTTTTTCATCGTTGTGATACCATTCTACTTCCGGTTCGGGTATGCCTGTCGCACATGCAGTGAACTTAGCCGTCATTCCCTTAAAGAGTTCGGTGTCTCCTATGCGTTTGAGGAACGTTGGAGGCTCGATCTTTTGCTGGACTTTACTGTTAGGTAGAAAATCATTATTTTAGAACATCAATGACTATAACGAATCGGAATGAAATCGTTATAAAAAGAACTATTATTATGATATATAACATGATTTTATCCATTTACAATTTTCCTTTTGTAAAATTTTCTAGATACGCCTGTGTTCTGCAATGTCCATATATGTTTTATTTGTAATTTTATGACGTAAATTTTTTTGAATTGATTTGTATCGTATGATATTTTTTTTATTATATGTATATTTGTTTTTGTGCTTTTTTGTTTTGTGAATGCTTTGTCGATGAAGCTGTTTTGACTTTTTGTACAATAAAGCGTTTTTTTTGTCGGATGAAAATAAACCAATTCATAAATTTGTCCGTCACTTAGTTTTCTAGAAGTTTGGTAGAGTGAAATCTTAGATCTTACCTGTTTTCGTTATAAAAGGTAATTAGCTGGAATGGTCCATTACTACTACGAGTACTACTAAATAATTTTACTAGCTTACACGTGACTATATTAGCTTTTAAATAAATATAGGAGATTCAACAAAATTTGTGTTCATGTTGAATAAGAATTGTTTAGTTGTTTTTTAGTGTGTTAATTTTTCAAAGATTATTATATCTATAATCCTCAACTGCAAAAAAGTATTAAATATTGGCGTTCTTCTTTTAGGGAAAAAAATGAAAATATTATAGGCACCATTTTGCGAAAAAATCTATATCATTGAGACCGTGCGATTTTTAATTTTTCTCTCTCAGTTTAAGTAAACAGTTTTCCAAAATATACAATGCTATTCACTTCATGCAAGCCGGAATATTGTAACAAAACGAGTAGATTTTTAAAATTTGTATGCTTTGAGGTTTATTGATAGATGAGTTACAATTGAATTGAGAAAGAATACTACAATTGAATTGAAAAAACAAACGAATTTAGATGGAGTGTCAAATAAATAAATAAAATTAAAGTTTTTTAAATAGAATACCTTTATATTATTACATTTTTAGTTTCTACTATTAAAGTTAAATTTAATTCAAGTGCAGGTGATGCAGGTGCTTTGATGATATCAAATATATTCAATTTTATAAAAATGTAGTAACAATTTTATGTTGTATATGGCTTTTTATGCTTTATATTGTTATATAGGCGTATTTAAAATTTTAATGATTATTAGGTTGCATTTATAGAAACGATACTTGCTTACAGAATATCTAAAAATTCATTCTAAATAATTACAAGATTTAAACGTCAATAACTTGTTTAATTTAAATGGAACAAACACCCTGTAATTAGTAGGAATCAGTTCCAAAATTGAATTATTTGCCATTATTATTTAGCACTTCAGATTCTGGAGAAAATACATATTTTTTTGTAATTTACATTTATCATAAAATATATTTTTTACGGATTTATGATTATTTTATCAATATTTAAGAATAACACTCAGCATTTCAAAAAATCTAATCATGTAGCTACAATACTTCGCGTCAAATGACATTAATAATTCTCTATACAGGGTGATATTTAAGAATCTTATCTTAGACATTTAATTGTTTTGTTAATTGAAGATGTGATTCTTTACGAGGCATATTTTGAAATTGAGTTCATTATACAAAAGGCGATACAGTATGGCGGTTTTTATAACGATTTCTATGCCAACCTATGTAATATTTCAAAACGTACATTTCCTTGACAACTTCTAAAGCAGCAGTGCATACTGCCTGGCCTTCTGGATTAGTAGCTGTAGCTCTGTAGACACCGGCATCGTCTGGTGTACAGTTTTGAACATACAAACAGCATAAATCACCGTCTCGTTTGATGTGGAACTTGTCACTTTCGCCAATGGGTTCTCCATCTTTTGACCAAGTAACTTCCGGCTGGGGAACTCCAGTAACTCTGCATGGAAATTTAGCATCACGACCTGGCAACTAACAAAACAAAAAAAAAATTTTGAGCGAAATAAAAAGTAAAAGATAACATTTACTTGTTGGAGATCGGTGAATCGTTGTGTAAATGCGGGTGGTTGGAACACTTTTCGAACTGTGGCTTTTCCTTCTGTAGATTCCTGTCCTAGAGGATTAGTTATGGTAACTCCGTATACTCCTGCATCTGATGGTACAGCTCTGTCGATTCTTAGGCCTACCTAAATAATTTGAATATTTTAAAATACATATAATAATATAAGATAAAAAGTCACTGAGAGGCTAGTTTTTTTTTGGATTTTGGCTATCCTACATTTTACAAAAAAATATTTCTTATTATAGGCTTGGTGCATTTCAACAAATTCCGACCGCAGCGCACTCTACGGCAGAAATCAGAAATTATCATTATGTACTTCACGCCGTCCGTTGTCATGTTGATCGCGTTAATATTCAAATAATATTCAAATCGTGGTTCTGTCATAATATTTAAGTATTTTAGTTTTTTGCTAGTGCAGTTATTGAGACTATAACACTCAGGTACAAGGTTTGTGTGATGTAACGCTGTTTCGGGTAGTAAAAAATCAGTAAAAAAGAATTCGAACTAGGCGTCGTGTTGTGACAATTTCAAATGTTAATAAAATTGCCCAAAAAAATGTTAACGCGTAAAGGAGAGCGTAATTAGGGCGATGTTGAGTGCAATAACATTCAATAACTCAACTTTCCTGGATATTCAACTCTTCCGAAACAACATTTTATAGGTTCATAGTTTTTCATACCGATTTGATCAAAAGCAAAAATAAATTCAAGGTTCATGCAGTTCGACGAAACAAGTGAGTAAACAAAGTGCTCATTACATAATCAAAAAATTAAATAGGCATATACTGTGAGAGGATAAAATATAATTTGCAATATTAATGGTATTCGTACTTTTTTTTAATCAACTAGCGATTAAATGTTTTATGAACATTTTCTAAAATTATAATTATGTACCTTTAAAAAATTTCGTTATAGCCAAAATAGCCCCAATTTTGCTTTAGAAGACATTTTTGTTACCTTGTCTAAATATTAACAATCTAGTTATTTCTTCTAGTTTTAATAAAAAAAAATCAGGAAACACGTATCTCAAATAAATAGGGGTCAAATATCATTTCCATGAAAAGTGTCTTTATATTAAGCCACTGAATAGCTATAGTATTAAGATCATTTTTTGTTTGTGTTTACCACTCTTTAACCGGTAGTGCTTTCGAAATATTTTATAGTACCTACCGAGATACCATCAATAGAACGCCCTATATATTGCTAACTAGAATTCTCACCTTTCTTCCATCACATGTCATCAAGATCCTGTCAGACGGTTCTACAGGAATACCATCTTTAGTCCATTCCACCGTAGGTATAGGGTTACCAGTAAACGGAGCTTCAAGTATGAGAGGCTGACCTTCATCCGTCACAACATCCTTAAGCTTATGCAGAAACATCGGTCTTTCTTCCGGCTCATCCGGTTTAGTTGAAGATTTAATCGTCAGTGGCGCAGCTGTATCGATTTGACCTGCCTCGTTTGAAGCCACAGCTTTGTATGTTAGGGCATCGCGCATCTGATCGCAAGCATCGATGATCAAAACTGAAGTACCATCGGGTTGTTCGACGATTTTAACGTGTTTATTATCTGAAATTATTTCTGCCCCGTTTCGAGTCCATGTTATCTTCGGAGCTGGAAAACCTTCCGCTTTAACTTCCAATTTTACCGGAAATCCTTCAACGACCGTTTGGGGGAATAAGGTTTTTACAAATTGAGGTCTGGTCGGTTTCTTTTCAGTAGTTATGATAGCATCACCGACAGCTTCTCCGAGCTTGTTACTGATTTTCAGCTCGTACTTTCCAGCATTTTCTGGTTTCATCACGTCAACAACTAAGGCTACCCGTCCATCAGGATGACTCTCAAAATGAACGTTTGGACCAGCTCGAACTGGCACTCCATCTTTAAACCATTTGATGTCTGGCGGTGGATATGCCTCTACTTTTGCTTCAAGTCGCAATTCTTGGCCTAGAGGCACTTTTTGATCTTTGAAGCACTTCAGGAATTTCGGTCTGCGTTGTTTAGCTAAAAAAGAATTTTGTAAGGCAAATATTAAAAAAGTTTTACGAACAGCCGTACCTGTTAGATAAGGCACTTTGTAAATTAAGCGTTGCAAGGTAAAATGGTTGCAAAATAAAACAATCTGATTTGTATGAAAGCAATTTACTTTTGAAATTAGGCGAAGCAATTAATCGTCATAAAACTTTTTAACTATGTAAGCTCTATACCAAAAATACTCACGTGCGACTGCAACGGCACACAGGGATGCCGTTTCTCCGTTTTGATTTTTTACGACTAGTTTGTACGCTCCACTGTCTGAAGCTTTACAGTTTTCGATGACCAGCTTAACTGTACCGTCTGGGAGAATGGTAGTCTTTATGTTGGCGTTGTCGGGAGATATCGGTTCTCCATCTTTGTACCAAATAGCCTAAAAAAAGTTTTGTTAAGAATTAAGTTAACATACTTGTTAAAATAAGTCTCGAAAAGTGGATAATTCATAAAGATAGCTGGCAAACTAAAAATCAAAACTCCCTTTTAATGACTTTTTAAATTTTTTTATGATCAAATCAAAGTAGATAACATTGTTGATCATAAATAGATATCATAAAGCATATATTCTTGATTTGTGATTTAATTTCAACCATGCTCTGCTTTTACTGTAAATTGTTTACGTAATATCTAAGAGGAATGTTCTAAAGATTAAGATATATTGTATGTGAATTATATGTATTTCGTATAGTTAAAATCTACTCAAAATAAAACCCTGTTCTTGAAACGTTCTCTAGATTAGAACAGTTTATGCTCAGTAAAAATCTTCTTTAGCTACGTAACTACGTAAATAACGGAAGTAATAAAATTCTTTTAGATAGAAATACCATTTTTTAAGTAGTAAGTCTAACGTTAGGGTATTAATTAAGTAGTACCAGAAATTATTAAATTATGTAAAAGTTGTATGTATGTAGACCTTGTATGTATTTCTTGAGCTTTTTGATAAGAAACGAACCATCTGCATCGTCTCTTAATACAAAACTTCGTTAATGATTGACAGAAACACTATTTTTAGTGCATTAATAATGCAACAAAAATAGTCATATCTAAAAATATCTTAAAACTGAACGCTATTATTTCTTCCAGGTCTAAAATATTTAAATTGCATAGAAATAAGTATATAATAAAACAAACTGTATTTTAGCTAGACATAGACTGATGGTAAAGTAAAACAGTTAAAAGTAGCAAAAGTAATTTGTAGCGATTAACAAGAAAATGTGTCTCATAAGAAATGAAGTTATGCAGAGTTTGTTTTTACTAAATTAAAGTATTACCTTTGGTTTGGGGCTGCCTCCGATCTTAGCTCTAAGCTCTAGTTTTTCCCCTTCATTTACATCCAGGTTTCTATCCAGTTTCTTTGACAAGGTGGGTGGAGTTTGTATCATAGATATACGAGCGATAGTCTCTGCTTCTCCCACAACATTCTTGGCAACAGCTTTGTACTAGGACAAGCAAAAATAATGTATTTTGTTATATTATATTTTAGAAAAAAAGTATATTTACCATTCCAATATCGCTTTCGCTGTAATTAGTAATAGTTAAGGTACTTGTAACTTGCGCATCTTTCGAGGTGACGATTTGATGATTTTTGTCCTCCACAATTTCTTTTCCATTTAAGTACCAAGCTATTTCTGGTTTTGGTAGACCATCTGCTCGAACCATTACTGATATTTCTCCTTGGTCTTCCACTTGATCGTCATTAAGGCCAGTAATAAACTTAGGTCTTTCGGCTAAAACGAAATACAGGATATGAACAGATATGCTATAATATGGCAGAAAATAAATTTTGACATTAATGCCTTATACAAGAGAGTTCATGAAATAAAGTTAAGTACTTATTTTTTTTATTTCTTTTGATGACTAAAAAGAATCTAAATTTTATATATTTAATTTTAACAAATGGAGTTTACATTTACACCCAAAAAAAATATCAATAGAAAACTGAAATTCGTTAGAAATTTATATGATTTATTGTCAAGGTTATTAAAATATAAGCTTGTCTCGTAACTCGATCCGCCATTATCGAAAACGTTATCAACACAAAATAGAAATCAACCAGAAGGTTGACTCTCAAAATGCGCGCGAAACGGTGGCTAACCTAAAAATTCCTTTATGAGCGGGTAACACCTGTCAATGTAGCGGCGTTACCGGTTTAGTCAGGGCAGGTCAGGGTTTAGTTGAATTCTGACGATCGCATAATAGGAATATATCACATAAATACGAATTTTAAAAGCGGAACAAATAAAAATAAATTATTAATAAGGAGAAATACATTGATATTAAACAAATGCATAGATTGTTTTATTTTAAATACTGTATTAACCCATCTTAACACAATACTTATTACCTACCTACCTAATCATAATTTTATTATTATAATGAGCCCGATTTATCTGGGTAACATTGTGTTCAAGCGAAACTTTCCCAGCATTAAAAAAAACATTTTTATTTTGATAATGTGTACCCAAAACGCAGAACGTGCCTCTAACAAATAAATTCAGGATTGTAAACTGTTACACTTTAGAAAGTACCTATAGCAACGCAATTTGCGTAATTTCCCACACCATAAAAACTTTTAAGAAAGGTGTAGGGATGACCACGGGTTTTTGCCAACCAGTAAAACGCAGCTCAAGGGTTCGAGTAGAAAGTTGACCTTTAATTAATTGGTTTACTTTATTTTTAAAATTCACGATCTCTACCCATTTCCAAATTTTTGACTACGCATATATTATCTGCCTACCTAATTGCAAAAAAACCGCTGCATAAAAATTACATGTGGTGGTACATATACAATATAAACTTTACCTTTCGAAATAACGTATTACGTTCAGTCTGTAATCACATACCTATCAGATAATAAAAATACTTATTCAATATAACCCTGACAACAGCCTGCGAAAGTGTTTTAATCCGGCCCTGAGAGTTACCCGCTGCTAATATGGCGTCGCGATTCGTGAAACGTCATCAAATTCGGCAGAGTCGGCGTTCTGGTTGATTTCTATTTTGTGGTTATCAACTACGTCACAGGTATCCGGCCGATCATAGATAAAGGGATAAGAACTGCCGATAGTTTGACAGTGCATTTCCGAATTGATATTCATTGTGTATGGCGTCAATAGTTTTCAGTTGTTTGATGTTTGTTTTCTTTATTACATTAATTACATTGCCCATTTATCTGTTCTTGTCCGTTGCATTTTATTTTTTATTCCTTTATCTTGATTTTATACGTTCTGTAGCATACTTGTGACGTAGTTGGCGCCTCGTTCCTATTGGTCCAGAAGTTACAAGGCAACCTGTTTAATATAGTAATCTTGATTTATTGTATCCTGAATATTACATAGGAGCATGAAATTTTCTTTTTTTAATTTAGATGTTTACAGTGGCGTTCAGTGCAAATTAAAGCAGGGTAGGCAAAAACTGGCAAAATAATGAAAGCTATGAGTTGCATAATAGAATATTATAATGTAAAATATATCTTAGATATTCTCTAGAATAATAATAAGATGAACAATAATTATTGCGAATATATATATAAGTACCTATTAATAAAATACATTTACCATTTATTTAGTTGGTTACAGTTAATGGTCCATTTAATAAAATAAATTGCTTTATTTTTTTATAGTTTTTAGTGACAAAAATGATCAAAAGCTATTGAAATTTTATAATTTTTAATTGTGGTTAATTGTTGTTTTTAATTCATGGTTCAATCAGTTTGATATGGAAGCTGCAATTATCTTAGTTATTAACAATGCGTTAAAAAATATAAAAATAAATAGAATAAATTAAAATTCCCAAAAAAGTGCATGTTCTTTGCAATAAGCATCAATTATATTCGTTAATATACATACTAAGGGCTGGCAAGTCTTGGGTCGAGATTTTCGTATGTAAGAAGAGTACAATGCGTTTATAATGTACTGAATAAAGAGAGAACAGTAAACACGTTGCCAAACGTATGAAATAAATCGAGAAACTGTGCTGTGCACATTGCTAAGAGACGTGGAAAGGGATATAGCAGATTTGTCGCAGTTGACCGGTGGATCTAATCAGTACCTGTGTCAGTACTTAAGTTCTAGAGAAAGGTGTACATCATGCGTTCAGCTTCACGATTTAATTACGTCTCGTGATACTTTATTTGTTTATTTATTAACGAATTGTTGTAATTTTCCCTATAGCTTGAAAATTTTAAAGTGCAAGCAAGAAACACTTGCATTTTTGGTCAAAATAAGTGGAATTGAGTTGGTTCTCGACAGTGGTCGGGCTATTAGAACTCTGAATTCAAAAATCGATATCTCAAAATCTGTTAAAAATAATTGATTGTAGTTTTTTCAAAATCTTTCTTAATATTTCTGCTGTATTTTCTTCGTAAACAGTAAGTGAAAATCTTTATCAATAAAAAAATTACACGATTGCTAAAAATTGCTATGCTCTAAGGCCTCTTTTATGCACGCGTTTTTTGTCGCTTGTCGCATTGCGACAAAAAGCGCGGCGTTTTTTATGACACAAGGTTCCAAGCGTTTCTTGTCGCGTGCCGCTTTCAAATATGATCAGTTGCAAGTGGACCACACAACGGCAGTTATTAAAAATGAATCCGTGCGTTATTACGTATTTTATATACAAAAATTTCATTGAAAAAAGACGGCAGAGACGTTGGTATGTGCATCCAATTAATAGTGCAAGACTTCTAGAGGCGCATATTATACGCTGCATGAAGAATTAAGACTCGACAGGGAGAAACTTTTCTTTTTCAGTTTTTTTACTGCATTCGGGAATAATGATGTCGGTAATTTCCTTCCATGCATCTCTTTTCAATTGCCTGTTTTTGTAATCTTCATCGTCATGAACCCCACAAACATGGATTTTCTTTTACTGCGTCAATAAAAAATTCAACGTCCAGATTTTCCATCGTACTTCTTCACACATCAACACCAGTCTGCAAACTGACTGAGCAAAATAAACACTACAAATATTTGGCGGCAGCGATAATAAACGCACTACATAAAAGCACCAATTGAAATCAACGTACTTTTGAAACGCCTGTCGCGACGCGTTTTGTAATTCCACGCTACAGGATTTTAGTACGCCGCGACACAGGCGGCGAGCGGCTCATTGACGTCGATGCATAAAAGCGTACATTTAACAACGTACCTTTAGAAAACGTCGCGTTTTTTGTCGCCCCGCGACGAGCGACAAAAATCGCGTGCATAAAAGAGGCCTAAAAGTGGGTTGTTTACAATTTTTGAATGGAAAAAAAAAACCTTATCGAATTTTTCTTATGTAAACATATTGTAAAAGATCCTATCTTCAAAATAAAAAAAAGTTTCAATATCTAAAGTGTTTCTTTAGTTATGGCGTGTTATGTGTTAACAGTTGAGTTTTTAAATTATCGCGATTGTTTTCGCGCTGACGTTTTCTTATTATAAAAAAATGACACCCTAAAGATTAAGACGATTTAATGACACCCTAAGAGATTTTATTTCAGATGCTCAGAAACATTTCTAATGATTTTATTTAGAAAAAAAAAAACTCTTTTAAAAATAAGCGGTTTGCGATCGTGATTTACTTTACTCGATAGGGAAAGGCGTGCCGGTAACACCGCAACAGCACTCCGTCGCATTTCTCTCACTCCGACTTAATAAGATCCCTATGCGATTTACTTCCACACATGTAAATACCGACCCAAGTGTAACAGTTGCCAGCATGGTATATAATTTGCATTTATAAGCCAAATTAAAACGTGTTTCAAAAATAACTTACTAGTTGGTTCAGCTTCTTCTGCAAATATTAATAATATATTAAAAATAGTTATATAATATATCAGAAATATGTTTTTAAATTATATTAAAATCTTTAAAAAATGTTGAAAGCAAAAACATTTTTTGTTCTTTTATCTTTTAAATTTAGAATATTTTATTATGAAAATATTTATTTTTCAATTATATTATTTACTTACTTATGGCTTTTAATCTAGCCTCTGAGCTGCTCTCTCCCAATTCGTTTTTAGCTATTACTTTATAGTAGCCTTCATCAGCCAGTTTCACATTGTGGAAAATCAATTTATAAGTGTCTTTGGCTCTATCCTCGACAATAGAAATTAGATCGCTAGCTTTGATAACTTTATCATCTTTTTTGTCCATAGCACCTGGGCTTCAGGATTAGCTTCAACCACAACAGTGAACTCCGTAGCTTCTCCTGGAACCACTTTAACGTCTTCTGGGCCTTCAATTTCTGGTCTAAGCACGATGGTTAGCTGAGCGCTGTCTTCTAATTCACCCCACTTATTTTGGCTTGAATCGTGTATTTTCCTTGGTTTGAACGTTCACCTATATTTTCAAAATACTTATTAATGCATACTAGGTGAGGAAATGAGAGTACTTACATCTAGGTATAGTCAAAGAGTAAGTACATTCTTTTAACCCGTCTTCAATGTCATGATCTTCATTTTCTAAAATGATCTTGTTCTTTTCAAAATCAGCATTGGATATAGGTTTTCCGTCTTTTAACCTACATGTATAATTATCAAAGAATTATAGAATAAATATATTAAATAAATATTTATACCGGGTGGTGCATCGTCGTTGGAAGCATAGCAAATCCCATGCAAATTTTGATGTGTCTAAATATTGGTTCCCCTGCTAATTTTACAGCAAAGTCGTAAATAGGTTTTTTAAAGGTATATATTTTTAAGCGTATGCTGAATACACGTGCCAAATTTGAACAATTTTTGGACATGCCGATTTTAATTAATTAAAAAAAACTTCATCTATTTTTAAATTAAAACTGAACAGGTAATAATGCAAAATCAGGCAAATATCAACATATCTTAAGTTGTCGCCTTATGATTTTATCATAGGTAACTGAAATTCTACATTACCTACGGTTAGTGTCTCCGAAATGCATATTTTGTATTTAAAACCTTTTCCGAATTAGGTAAATGCCCTACAAAATAGAAAATACAATTTGAAATTCACAAAATCAGGTTGACAACTTAAGGTATATTGGCATGTTGGTATGTTGGCTGTTCAGTTTCAATTTAAAAATAGATGCATGTTTTGCTTAAATTAGTTAAAATCGGCTTGTTGAAAATTGTCCAAATTTGGCAAATGTATTCAGCATACACAGACCTTTAAAAACCTTATTTACGGCTTCGCTGTAAAATCAAGAGTGGAGCCAATATTTGGACAGTTCAAAATTTGCCAGCGATTTCCTATGTTTGCAACGACACGCGACTATGCACACCCGGTATATAAATATAAATATAATGAAAAATACTTATTTTAATCATATTGATATTTATTTAATTATTAAAAAGATCAAAAATATATGTATAATAATTATAATATTAAGATTGATTAACGTTGTTGGCTAAATATTATAAACTCATAATTTTCAAACTACATTTTGAGTTTTGTTGAAATTTTAACAAGAACAGTTAATTATACATTTTAAAATCTAAAGCAATTAAATAATGCACATGTGTAAAAAAAATGATATATTACTTTTAATAACTCTTAAAACATTATTAATATTATTTTGCCTTAAAAATGCTTTATTTCCAATTTTGATATGAGCGGTGAGCAAATATACCGAGTATATTTACATATTATTCAAAAATAAAAACATCTTTTATAATAAAAAAACAACGGTTTCCTGTAGACGTATCTGTTTAAAAAAAACTAATTCTCATAATAGTTTTAGAATTTAAATATCCTAAATAGTTTTTTTTATTCTTTGTTTTTTTTAAGTTAAGCATTTTTTTCTTTGTTAGGCAAATTTGTATAACTGTAAACATAACTTCTGACAAGCAGTATTTTCTTGCAGTGCAGTGACGAAATACCCATAAAGGATTTTTTTGGAGAGACGAATCCGCCACATAGGTATAGACATTTTTTATCTTTTATAATGTCATAAATTCATACTCGGGTTTCTTATATTATTAACACGTTATAAAGAAACACGTTTAATTTTAGTTAAGATTGTTCTTACCATGTAACTTCAGGTATAGGGTCTCCAATAATAACAGCCTTGAATGTAACCCCATTCTTTTTTACTATTCTTTGATCTTTTAAACCTTCCTTCAGTTTGGGACGGCGCAATTCTCTTTCAGCTAAAATAATTATAAATAACAAAATATTTACGATAGGTTTTATGTATAGTCTGTCTATGCGTTTTATGTATAGTCGTCGTTTGCATTTTCTGTTGGTTAATTAAAAAATACCGCGTTCGTCTCAAGTAGCTCACCCCTATAACTTTTTTTATTTTTTCAGATAAAACAACGAGATATGATATGTTAGTATACGACATAAATCAGGATTGATTGATATATTCAACTGTTTTCGGACACTTCCTGTTTCACCGGAAATAACTACAACTTTTGATTTTTAAATGGCATTCTCGATATTTTTTTATTTTATTAGATAGAAAATGACACTCTGAATAGAATGACATATCATATGTGAATTTTTGACATTTTCGCATATGGTTATTTTGAAATTGTAACATGCGGTTCATAACGACAATTTGACTCGAAATACCAAGTGTGTGGTGTCAAATTATTCGTAAAATAATGCTTTTTCCAAATATGATAATGAGCCACCCTCGTTCCGTTTGAAAAAATTGAGATATGATTAAAAATACGATTTGGGCATCTTATAACCCGCCAGGACAAGACACTAAAAAACATTAGACGATCAAATCTATTTTTCTAAGGCTCCTGGATTAAAAATTAGTGTTTTTAACACAGCCATGGCACTCTAGATTGAAATTTAAAATACAATTTGTTTTTTAGCGAATACCTCAAAAGTTGACATATGATATGTCATTCGATTCAAGAGTGTCATGTTCTATCGAATAAAGTAAAAAATTCGAAGGTGCCATTTAAAATCAAAGTTGTAGTCATTTCCGGTGAAACAGGAAGTGACCGAAAACAATTGAATACGTCAATCAATCCTAATTTGTGTCATATACTAACATACCAAATCTGTTTTTTTATGAAAAAATAAAAAGTTATAGGGTGAACTACTTTGGAGACGCACCCGGTATATATCATAACGTGACTGCTATTACCCAATATTACAATGGAAAATAAAATATAAATAAAATGGAATTATAATCCAAATCAGATTTGAATATGATGCTTGATTTGATATAACTTTTTAAATATTTTTACAACGCGTAATTTTCTTTTTAAATTATGGCATTAAGGACTTTACATTCATCAAATGCATTAAGGGCTAACCTAATCCTTTTTTTTTTTTTGTTAACTTAAAAGTTTGATTTTTTTACAGCTTCAAAGAGAATGTAGACCTGAGTATATGGTTTTAATTTCACCCGGCCCTATAGGCTTGGTGCATTCTCCGCCGGTGCTGCCACCATCGGAAAATATCGTAAAAACTAGCATCTACAAATAAGCACACGGGTTTAAATAGCGAGTAGGTATACGAAAAATGTAATTAATTATTCTAAAAGTGTTAGGAAGTATAATTTGTGAAAATACTAATAATAAAAAATAAAAAAGTAAATATTTTGATATCTTCAGCAGTTCTAACTTGTATTATAATTTATTATTCCAGTTAAAAAAAACTTTTTAGATGGGTTCAACTACGGTAGCGAGCATAGTTTTAATCACCGGTTTTGCTAGTGGGCCATAGGTAATTGGGGCTATTTCGGCAAAACGAAATTTTTAAACGTACGTAATTATAATTTTAGAAGATATTCATAAAACGTTTAATCACTAGTTTATTAAAAAACTATACCATTAATATTGCAAATTATACTTTATCCTCTCATAGTATAATTATGTCTCTTTAATTTTTTGAACGGGCACTTTGTTTATTCACTTGTTTCGTCGAACTGCTTGAATCCAATTTTGCTATTGATCAAATCGGTGTGAGAAACTATGAAGCTATAAAATAGTTGAATATCCGGGAAATTTGAGTTATTGAATGTTATTGCACCTAACAACGCCTTCATTGCGCTCTCCTTTACGCGTTATCATTTTTTCGGCAATTTTATTAACATTTGAAATTGTCACAACACAACACGACGCCTAGTGCGAATTGTTAGTGAAAACTTATTTTTACTACCCGAAACAGCGTTACATTGCACAAACCTGGTACCTGAGTCTTTTATAGTTTCAATAACTGTACTAGCAAAAACTAAAATACTTAAATATTATGACAAAACACGATTTCATTATTATGTTAATGCGATAACACGACGGCGGCGGCGGCGGCGCCGGCGTGAACTATATAATGATAATTTCAGATTTTTGCCGTTAGACGCTGCGGTCGGAATTTGTTGAAATCAACTGAAATGCACCAAGCATATAAGGATTCTGTTTCTCCCTTTGAGGTACGACACCCTAAAAATCATGTATAATAGAAGAAAACTTACGTGTAACTTCTAACACCGCTTGTTGTTTCACAGTGCCCACAGGATTGGTTAATACATTCGTAAACTCCGGCATCTTTTAATTCTAGCTTCGTTATTTCTAACTTGAATTCTTCGCCGTTTTGACTGGACGTCATTCTGAGATGGGCATCAGGTTTGATCTCTTTTCCGTTAAGTGTCCACGTAGCTGTGGGTGGAGGGTTGGCAAATCCTCTTACAATGTACGTGATATCCAAAGATTCTGGCCTTGAACCGTCTTTCATATTGGTGTCCAGGATTATGGGTTCGGCTGACAATAAAAACGCTAAATTAGTAAAATATATAAACATGTAGGTAACATCACCAAATTAAATTATATACAGGGTGATCGATTAAAGTCGGAGATCGTCTTTATTGTCGAAAAAAAAGGTTTTTATAAATGTTACATCGTTTATCCTAAAAAATATCTTGTTGTATAAAGGGTGTCTCAAAATAGTAATAATTGGACTTTTCTCGCACTAGTGGACCACCCTGTATGTACGATTTTCCTGGATGAGCCCGCTTTGGGAGTTTATATACTATAAGTGATACCAATTAAACTTTTAGTTACGTAATCGAAAGCGCAATTTTTACATTCATTGTTGCCAACCACGGACATATTCGGCGCCGGGCTGAATAACTGTAATTGAAATTTCCCGTTGGCGATTCAGGTGGTAGCTCTGCCGTAAAAAAAATGTCAAGTTGCCGTATTTATTTATTTATTTCCTGACATTGTCATTCGTTTTGACACTTTAATTTCGTATTACGACTTTTTGGTTTAAATGAATTGTGTTGATACTTTAAGCTTGAAAATTGTACTAGCAGACCTTGCAAAAACCTGTTTGTAAAAACCTGTTTTAGTGCGAAGTGTACGAGATAGCTTAATAGCCGTTGCAAAAAACTCATCGCTACCTTATTAGAATATTTTGAACGGAGAAGCGGTAGTAATTGCTCTTTATTATTTTATTATTTATTTTTCATTTATTTTTGTTCCAAAAAATATTTTGATTAAAAAAATACATAAAGGTGGGCAACGTTGTGCCGGTCAAACTTAATCACGTGACTAAAAGTTTATTTGGTATGATCTATAAAAGAAAAATATGTAGTGAAATATGTAATTTACAATTTTTTGCACATAAATATTTTAGAGAATTGAATTTGAGACTAGTTTAGTTTTAAAAAATATTTGCTTTTAATTAATTTTAAGATTTATCCATGTTGCATTTTTTTAAATATACAGGGTGTCAAAAAAATAGTGATCTAACTTTGGTGAATACGGATCAAAATAGGTGATTGTACGGATCAAAATAGAACAAAAGTTACTACGAACATATGCCTTAAAATGCTTCCCGAGGAAGTTACAGAGCTCGAAAGTATGAATAAAAATAATATATTTTGTTTATTGTTAAGATTATTTGTAAACCGTCTTTCTTGAAATTTGATATTCTTACAGACATTTTAATGCCAAAGCGAATCGCTATAGTGTAAAATTCCGTAACAACCCTGAGAGGGGCTCTTCGTTTAGTTGAAACGGTGAACGGTTTTCAAGATATTTGTGTTTAAGGGTTCCGATGCATCGATTTTAGTATTAGCGAAATCATGATATTAATAAATTTATAATTTCTATACATTTTATTTTTTTGGCGTAAAAATGACTATTAGTTTTTTACGCCATTTGTTGAAATTGTTGTATCTATAAGGAGAAAAGAAGTACAACCAGTAGTACTATCTACATTCAATGGAAAGTGCCTTTTCAGGGCTGTTATGGAATTTTACCATCACAATTTGCTTTGGCATTAAAATATGTGTTGAGTACTATGTTTGAAGACTTTTTTTTACTATGTTTTAAAATTAAACAAAATATATTATTTCTATTTACCCTTTCGAGGGTTGTAACTTTTTCGGGAATCAATTTAGGGCATATGTTCATAGGAACTATTTGTCTTATTTTGATCTGTAGAATCAACCACCGAAAAATACACTATTTTTTGATACCCTGTATATAAAATTGATATTATGATAAGTCACCTCTTTATATATTAATAAATTAACTGAGTAAAACCAATTCATTTTCAGTAATATAACTACTAATTATACCAGTATAAAAATTGCTTTTGGCTTACAGTCTTTGGTGATGTTATCTAAAAAAACTATGCGTGTTAAAATATTGGTGAATGTTCCTCATATCTGCAGCTATATGTTAAAGTGTTATATATATTTTTTATTGTGCATGTGTTGTAAGTGCTGAGAACTTACCTGTTTGTCACAACGATTATCTAAACTTACCTGAACAGTTAGAATCAGCTAAGCGTACTTGTTAAAGCTTTACATAAAAATGGTCAAAATGTGCATAACAAAAAATAACATAAGTGGATTGTTTTAGTGGAGAGCATTCTGGAGAGGAGCGTTTAAGTACCTTCTGGTTTGCTTTTAGCCTTTTGACTGTCCTGTCTGTCAAGTACGTCGGTTTTTTGTTTTTTGGAAGCATATTCGTTTTGGTCTTGCTCTATAAGGGTAGATTCTTCTACAGACGCTTTTTGGGCTTTATTTTTCTTAGGCTCTTTATTATCATTTTGAATCTCGTATTTTGTAATTGTTTCTTCAACGTCAGCTTCATCTTTCGTTTGTTGTAGAGGTTTTTTCGGAACTTTAACGCTGGCCTTTGTCTCAGTAGTTTCGGGCAAATTAGCTTCGGGTTTTTCTTCAATTACCTCAATGCTTTCTTTTCTGGCAGATTTTCCTTTCTTGAATGGAACTCTTGACGTTCTCCACTTCAGGGAAGATTTTTGGTATATTGCTCTCGGGTTGTTCGACTTCTTCAATTTCTTCGATTTCTACAGTTCTAGCTCGACTAGATTTTCTTTTGGGCACGTCTTCAGTTGTAGGGGTTTTAGGTTTATGCGTTTCGTCGACATCATCAAAGTGTTCGGCTTCTTCAATAATGGCAAATGTACCCCTCTTTTTCTGTAACTCCGGCGAAGCTGGTTCTTCGATAACTGGTTCAGGGCTTTTTTGGATTCTAGCCTGCTTTGTCTCAATTTCTCCTTTCTCGGCTAGTTTACCTATTTTTTAATTGAGTGAATGACTGGTATAAAATATTAATGAACGAAACAGTAGATTGTAGATATCATTTTCAGTAAAGAGAAACACAGATGATAACATATAATAGACATTGAAAAATCTAATGCTAAAATAGCCACTCTAAGCACACACATAAAGCACCTAAAGCTTTTTCTGTTTGTTTAAGGAGGTAATTACATTTGAAAATATGGAAACAAAAAAATGAATGTGTTATACCTTGCTTGGGAGATGCTGCTTCTTTAGGTTCCTCAACTTTAGGCGTCTGCGGCGATTCAGGCTGCTTTTCTGCTTCTTGAGCGACTTGCGGTTCTTCTATTATTTCCTCAATTTTAACTGCCTTTGGTGGTGGTTCAAATTCTTCTACAGCGTCAGTATGTGTTACCTCTGTAATTGTTAGTAGATAACGACACCACATAAGGGAAAAATTTAATGGTAAGACACAAGTACCACTTATAAGACACATTTTGAAAAATCTACGGGGGACAGTCATGCCACCAAATTATACTTACCTATACCTTAAAAGTGTTATGTGTATTCCTTTGTAAATCTATTGTTTTTGTTGATTTAAAGCTTCGTATTTGGTTAAAAAAAACTTTACTGTGCACAGTGACAAAGCTTTTACTGCTAACAGTTCCCAAAGAGTTCGTCACGATGACTTCATATTCTCCTTGTTCTTCATATTTGATTAAGTCAACAGCTAAATGTAAAGTTTCATATCGTTTTTTATCTCTAGTTATCTTAATGCGAGCGTCAGTGGAGACTTCTCTTCCATTTCTCAACCATTTTACTGTAGGAGGAGGACAGGCGTCTACTTCAACTTCAAGATGGAGTTCGGCGCCTTCCTCTACGATGGTATCCTCAAGTTGCTTAACAAATCTTGGAGCACCTACATTAGACAAATTATTAATTTATTGGTTCCCTAACTAAGAAATATTATTTCAATATTTTGAACGTTATTCGAAGTATACAGTATACTTACAATTAACTGTTAACTTTGCACTAGTTTCTGCAACACCCAATTCGTTACTTAACTTGCAAGTATATTGACCTGACAGTTCACTAGTTACTTCTTTGATGACAAGTTTCACACCATCATCTGATTCAATTCTGGTGAATTCGCCTCTTGTTTCTTTAATCTCAATGCCACGGTAAAATAATGTGTGAATATTAATAGAAGGGGCTTTATTGTGAAAAGTCATTTCGAACATTTTGAAAATTATAAGTCATAAATATTAAAATAAATAAATGTTTTCCTGCACATATCTAATGTAAAACTATACAATTATCCATAAAATAGTTTTTCGGGGTTATTATTGAATTTTTAATTGAACTCAAATATTTTAAATTGTTTCTTACTTTATATTTCCCAATATCAAGGTGGGAATATATTCTTTGAAACGTTAAATGCTTTTTGATGGTTAAGTCTGATTTTCGCAGTTAAATCGAACACTTTTGGAGTCTCGTCATAACAAAATCACATTGGGCTAGGTCAAAGAACAACCACAATGTAATGACAACAAAAAGCTGAGAGACTGGCTAAGAAAGTAGCATGTCTAAATATTTTTGGACCTATCCACGCAAGTTATTGTCTATCGCAAAGATGTTAGATAAAATTTAAACGCATAAGAGGTGAAGTTTTTTTGAATGACTCTCATTTCATGAAATATATTTCTTCAACTTAGAAAACGGGTGTTTGGGAAGGTTCGAAAGGAACAATTATGTTTTTTGCGACGTTTCGCGACTTTAATGTCGCCCTTCAGGCACAGAGTACGACATAAACCTAGCATCGGTGTGCTTCGTGCAAAAAATACCCCAAGTATCTGTTCGTTCGTCTGTATGTGTCTTATAGTGTTCGCGGTTTTTTTGCCATGAATGTTTGTAGGCATTTGAATGAATATATGTTTTAGTGCCTGAAGAAGCGACAATAAAGTCGCCAAACGTCGCAAAAACATATTTGTTTTCGAACCTTCCTGAATATCCAATGATTTTTTTCTACGTACTAACTAACTACTGGGAATTAACAATAATCATAATATATTTTCAACTCTATGGACATCTGCGCAAATTGATGCTAAGTGATACACCAGTCTGCAGGAAATGTTCTTTAGATATATAAAGCATCTACAGTTATAACTGCAGATTTTTTGAATAGCATATCTTCCATAGATCACATATTTGGTAGTTAGGATTCAGTAAGGAGTTTTCAGTAGAGGAGTTTAGTAAAGAGCCATACAAATAATTTTAATTAATCAATTTCTAAATCCAGTGGATTTTTACAGAAACCGAATTTTTGATGTTTGTTTTGTTTCTGTAGCAACATTCCCGAAAGACTGTGAAAATGTGTTTACCACAAAGATTAGATATTATAAGTTTCGACTTCGACGTATGTGAATTCTTACCATTTAACTGCTGGCGGAGGAAAAGCTTCCATTTTGACATCCAGAGTAACATTTTTGTCGCGCTCTGTAACTGTCATATCCTGAAGGCCTTTGATAATTTTAGGCGGTTTCTTAACGAAGACTGTACTTTCTGCCTCGCCAGTACCATGGATATTGAGAGCCTTAAACTTGTATTTTGCAGCATCGGTAGTAACAGCTCCTGTAATTCTCAACATGTATACGTCACCGTCTTCTTTGATGACGTAATGTTCGCTAGCTTGAACTTCTTCCTCGTCTTTGTACCACTTGATTTGGGGTTTTGGTTCAGCTTCAATTTTGACTTTCAATTCGAGATTTTGTCCTTGAGAAACTATTTTTTCTGCTTCGAGTTTTTGCACGATTTTCGGTTTGCTGTAGACATCCAGTTTCCAGAATTGGGATACTTGTGCCAATTCGTTAGTGGCCACCACAGAATAAGAACCTTAAAAACTCCTTATGGAAATTACAATCATAATAGAAGCAGTAGGTATATTAGTTTTTTACTATCTACTATTTCAAATACAAAGTTAATTGTTTTGGGATAAGTATATATTTCAATGGATATATTCTTTATTTTTTACTACCAGATTTAAACCGATTTTAATCGAATGTGCACAGTTCAAGTACCGGGTGCGTCTTAAAGTGGCTCACCTCGTAACTTTTTATTTTTCTGCCATAAAAAAACGAGATTTGATGTGACATAGCAAATTAAGATTAATTAACGTATTCAATTGTTTTTGTCAAGCCTACTTCACAGGAAATGACTACTTTTGATCGGCACCCCGGTAGGCTTAATTTTATTCGATAGGAATGATGTTTGACATATCATATGTTAACTTTTGACATTTTTGCATAGTTTATTTCAAATTGTGCGGTGCATAATGACAATTTGACTCGAAATCCAAGTGTATTGTATGTACCAAATTATTCGTAAAAATGTGTTTTTCCAAATATGTTAATGAGCCACCCTGTTCCAGTTCAAAAAAATTGGTATATGATTAAAATACGATTTGAGCATCTTTAACCGGCAGGACAAGATACTTAAAAATGAGTTAGATTAATTAGTTAGTGCTTTTTAGCACAGCCATAGCACTCTAGGATTGAAATTTAAGATACGAGTTTTTTATAAGCGAAAAATTTAAAAAGTTGGACATAAGGATATGTCATTCACGCAGAGTCATTTTATCGAATAAAGCGGCAGAAATATACCGAGGGTGCTACTTAAAAATAAGAAGTTGTAGTCATTTCCGGTGAAACAGGAAGTAATTCCAAAATAATCGAATACGTCAATCAATCCTAATTTAGGTCATATACTAACATAGCAAATATCGTTTTTTATCTGAAAAAAATAAAAAATATAGGGGGGAGCTACTTTTCGAGTGGCAATCTCGGTATTTTTTATGGCTTTTCGATTCTAAATTTAGCAGCGTTTCTAAGTTGGAATTTTAGCATACATAAAGTGTCGTGGAGACTATTGAAATGATTGTATTGTTGTTTTGTTGGGGAAACTCAATGTGCGTACAAAGTTTCATAAGAACAGATTTAGAGAAATAGTTGAAAATGGTTTGTAAATTGCTAAACACACCAACACTTACATAAGAACATTGCAAATTAAATAGAAAATGTAAAAAAATGTTTTACCTGAATCAGAGAGAGCCGATTTTTCAATCACTATACTATGCTTTTCACCTTCCTTGACTATTTTGACTCTCTGACTATCCTTGATTTCTTTACCATCTTTGTAAAACTGAACTTTGGGTTCTGGAATACCTTCCACCTCAACTGTCATCTTAAGCAGAGAATCAGCATGGATAGATACATCCTCCATTTTCGATTTAATTTTTGGTGGAGCTACAAAGATATATTTATTTAGATCGAGAAATTCCATTTGATACATCAATTGTTAACGGAGAAATGAAAATTACTGGATATGTGTTAATCATTGCAAGAGAATCGTAAGATATACATGATCCATTTCACAATTTCTTTGCCTAATATTATTTGGAGGGTCCAGGTGAAAACCAGGATAAGCGGCAATTTTTTAGTTTTAGGGTTTTACAATATTATAGTAGGTTTAACTGGTCCTCACAAAGTGTATAAACTCTGCAGGGTAATAAGGCTCCTAAATTCTATGATATATGCCTAGTAGAAATATATATACAGGGGCAGAACTTGATAACAACCAGCCGTACAGGGAGGGCTCTCCTGTAGAATTAGTAGAATAGCGCTTATCATGCTTTTCCCCTGAACCCTTCATTTTATTTTATTCTAGCCATATGAATTCCACATCATTTAGGTGTCTTTCATTGATGACAATGATTGACTGAAATGATGAACAGCATTAGTAAAACTTCATTAATTGTGTTTTACAATGAGATTTGTTTTTCCATGAAAATCTTAAGAAGTAAATTTGTAATTTAAAAAAAATACATATAAGTGTCAATGATAAAAATTAATAGTGTTATGTATTTGATTTTTAACAACTTTGATTAGGCTAAGTCATTGTGAGACGATCAAGTAGAGTGCAAGTGCAACCACATAATAAAGTGTGTCGTAAGTATCAAGGATGAAAGATAAATGTAGTTTTGTGTTTTTACCCCTTAATTTTACAGTGCGAGTTTCTTTTTCAAAGTATTCTTCTGTATAAAAAATACGCTTGGCTGAAAAAGTGTATGTGTTAACTATGGATTTATTAATATGGACTATACAGAGTTACCACTGTTGCAAAAAATGTATATATTTGGTTTTATATGAAAAACTTGTACTCCTAATTCTATTCCTAATCCGTATTAACTAATTTTTTAGTTTTAAAGTGATCATTTTTAGACCAAGCTCAAGGCACCTTTGGTCTTGATCTGGAAGTTAACACGTAGCCTTGGTCTTAGGCTTGCAAGTCTTGCATTTGATGACTCTGGCAAGTCTTGCATTTTTCAATAAATTTTTGCTAGATGCACTTTTTACATAGAAATTCCTTAAATAAATCGTATTTTTAGTAATTTAATGCAAATACATCTTTAAAGAAGCAAATTATTAAAATATTTTTCTGGCTAAAATTTCTATTTTTTATATTATTATATTGACTAAGTATTTCATTCTTTAAAATTTTATTTAAAGCTTCATTCAGAACCTCGCAATTAGTGGAATAAATTAGTGGTTCCAATTAGCGTATAAATTTGTTCCTTTAATTTTAATGTAAGCATTAAGAATTTCAAAATTAGCGGTAAGTAAGAATTTTCAATTAAGCTTCATTCAGAACCTCGCAATTAGTGGTTTCAATTAGAGTAGAAGTTTGTTCCTTTAATTTCAATATAAGCCTTCAGAACGTCAAAATTAGTAGTAGTCATTTTCAATTAGTAGAAAAAGTTATCAAAACTTTTAACTTTTCTACTAATTAGTGTACTTCAAAATTTGCGGAAAATGACATTTTGGCCTTTGGAAATCAAAAGTTTATTGTTTTATAAGCTAAATATTAGGCTTTCTCTATGGATACAACTGATAACCGCAAGCTGTTGCTAGGATATTGATTATGTTGGATAGGATTATTTTAGACATTGTGAA